TTTTTACCAGCACACCCACTAGTAAGCGCAATATTTGTGTTTTGTATTATTGTTCCCAAATGGCGTGACCTTCTGCTCCCGAAAAATCCAACTCCACAAAAATCGGGCCAATTTCATGTCCGGGTTTTGGAACGCAGTTTTGCTGCTAATCGTCGTTGGTTGCAAGTTGAGCGACTGGGCTGTGGAGAAGCATCGACACTGGGTAAACGGAGAACAACCAGGCATCGCAGCAAGCGTAAGTGCACTACGACTGATAGAGTTTGCCGATGATGTCAATCGCTGATGTCTTGTCACGTTGCCGAAGTGGGCAGAGCTACGATGACGGGCCACGCCTTCCCCTCCCTCTGAAGGAGAAGGGTGGCGAGGCCACGCAAAAATTTGAAACCAGCTTAACGCGATGTTCTAGCCCCTGTAACTTCCTTAATATACAGTCGACTCCCGGTAATTCGAAGTCGCTTAATTGGAAGTTTGGTTAATTAGAAAAGAGCAAGTGGTCCGATCAGTTTTGCATGCAATCGCATAGAAAAAAATGCTTGATAATTCGAAGTTAAAACCCATAATATTGGTTAATTAGAAGTTTTTTCAATCGACAGTCTCGTCGCGACCGTAATTTTACAGTAAAATGGGGAACTTTTCATATGCCAAAACATCTGCCGGACCGCGCTGGTGTCTTCGCCATCACTACTGTCCGCAGCGCCACAGATCTTGAAGCGGCAATCTTTTTAACGCTGGCGAATCGCATCGGCGGCATTGACTGACTCTTTAGTTGACTTTTGTCGAGACTCGAATGTGTCACCGCGTCACACGCGCGCTGGGTTGATTCCACATGTGTTTCCACGCTTCTGATTTTGAGTGTTGTGGTGGTGACGTACGTTTGATAATGGCAACTCGTGGCCCTTACCGAACGCTAGACCTAGCGACGAAAGTCGAAGTCTTGAAGGAAGTTGACCAGGGAGGCACCGCCAAACAAGACATTGCAAGAAAGTACGGCATTAAGCCTAACACGCTGTCGACTTTCACAAAGAATAAGCGCTCAATATTGGATGCGTTTGAAAGTGAAAAATTCAAGACATCGCGAAAGCGGATGCGCACCGGCACCTACCCCGAGTTGGAGGAAGCACTGCTGATTTGGATCAGAGAGGCACGAAACAACAAACTTCCTCTCAGTGGTGAAGTCGTCACGGCAAAAGCGTCATCGCTTGCTGAAATGTTGGGCATCAACGACTTCGCTGCTTTGGATGGGTGGCTTACGCTTTTCAAACATCGCCACGACTTGATTTTTAAAAGCGTGTGTGGGGAGAAGGCGTCAGTCGATGAGGAAACGTGCCTGACATGGAAAGCGGGCAAGCTTTGCGAGTACCTCGAAGAATACCAGCCGGCAGACATTTTTAATGCAGACAAGACTGCGTTTTTTTATCGGCTGCTACCGGACAGGACCCTGACATTTAAAGACGACGACTGTTCTGGAGGCAAAAGAAGCAAAGAGAGAGTGTCAGTGCTAGTCGCGGCAAACATGACTGGCACAGAACGGTGTCGCCTGCTTGTGATCGGGAAGGCTGCCAAGCCTAGGTGCTTTAAAGGCATGAAGACGCTTCCTGTGGATTATGCCTCGAACAGAAAGGCGTGGATGACATCTGATATATTTAAGGACTGGATCACCAAACTCGACTGCAAGTTCGCGCAATCAAGCCGTAAGGTGTTGTTCCTTGTGGACCAATGTAGTGCCCACATGAACGTACCTGCCTTGATTGCCATCCGTCTTGTGTACCTGCCTGCAAACACGACGTCCGTGTTGCAGCCCATGGACCAGGGCATAATAAAAAATGTGAAGGTATTGTATAGGCAGCATCTCGTCGAGCGCATGCTTTTGTGCATGGACAACTCGTCGCAATACGAGGTGAGTTTGCTTAGTGCCATCAACATGCTAGCGCGAGCTTGAACCCGTGTGAAAAAAGAAACCATCGCCAATTGTTTCCGGACCTGTGGTTTCATGGAAAACTCGGGGGATGCTTCTCCTTGTGCGCCAGTGGAAGTGCAAACAAATGAGCTCGACGACGGTAGCTTTTGCGCCGCTCTCGGTGACGTCCGATTTGACGAGTATGTCGCTGTGGACAGCAACGTCGAAACATGCGGTCCACTAACAGACAGCGAAATCGTGCAGATGGTTCGGCCCCATGACTGCATTCCTGAAAATGACGATGATGACGACGACATCGGAAATGAGCCACCACCGAGGGCTGCCGATGTAGCTGCGGGTCTTGCTCTTGCGCAGCGGTTTTTTGTTGGAGAACACAACGCCGAAGAAGCACTTCGACACGTGTATTCCTTACAAAACTTGCTAGCCGCAGCCAGATTCGGCAAGCAGAATCTATTCAAGCTTGGACCCGCGTGAAAAAAGAAACCATCGCCAATTGTTTCCGGGCCTGTGGTTTCATGGAAAACTCGGGGGATGCTTCTCCTTGTGCGCCAGTGGAAGTGCAAACAAATGAGCTCGACGACGGTAGCTTTCGTGCCGCTCTCGGTGACGTCCGTTTTGACGAGTATGTCGCTGTGGACAGCAACGTCGAAACATGCGGTCCACTAACGGACAGCGAAATCGTGCAGATGGTTCGGCCCCATGACTGCCTTCCTGAAAATGACGATGATGACGACGACATCGGAAATGAGCCACCACCGAGGGCTGCCGATGTAGCTGCGGGTCTTGCTCTTGCGCAGCGGTTTTTTGTTGGAGAAAACAACGCCGAAAAAGCACTTCGACACGTGTATTCCTTACAAAACTTGCTAGCCGCAGCCAGATTCGGCAAGCAGAAGAAGATGACAGACTATTTTTCCTCAAAACTGTCGTGCTTTTAAACTAATAAAAGTGCCGTTTTTAGTGCTTTTTGCTTAATTCGAAGTTCGTTCAATTCGAAGTTTTTTGCGGTTCCCGTGAACTTCGTATTAACGGGAGTCGACTGTAGCACGTATTTGCAAAATTTTGCGGCAGCATGTTCACAAAGTAAAAATGCACTTATTTCTCTCTATAACAATTTTTGAACCTTGGGGTTGTTTTGGCCCTTTAACGAAGGAATATAATGTCAGCCACTTTGCTGTATGTACTCGTATAGTCTGATGCTGTCATGAGCATCATAATTAGTCCTTAAAATAAATGTATGTACATTACCTGTCCCCAATCAATTCTGAGCTGCTAGCGAGGTAAAAGCAGCTGCCTTCACGACAGCCAGCGGACCCTATCAATACACAGTGCATGTGCGCAGAGTGCACGCATGTGTTGTAGACCTCCGCACTTGAATACGAACCACTTTCTCACTCACTCTTGGGAGCTAATGTTGTAAACGACATTGGAGCATGTGCAGTCACCGATCGATTTTTCAGACCCAGCAGGAACCGAAAAAAAGTCCGAAAAATTGAACAGTCTGAAAAACTAGTTTTTGTCAGAAATGTGAACTTTATTGCATCAGGCAGGCTGAAAAAATCCATGATTCTGCCTTGCCTCATACTACGCTTGAAAGCAATTTGGTTCGCCCATATTTGCGCCAAAGTGACATCGTCACTGTAAATGCTCGACAAAAGCGTCACCGCGGTGGCGATCTCCGCCGACAGCTGCAAGCGATCATCGTCTTCATCATCCGAACCGCTCTCCGGCTGCGGCACAACCTGGCGAAGAGTTTCTTCATGTGTGGGCTCCGCGCACGAAATGCACAAAAGCTATACACAACACTTTGCGGGCGGGGATCGCCGCACGCTATTTCGGATTTTTTGCGGGCAGACCGCGAACAGCGACTCACGTTACGACGCATGCACAGTGGCAGCGACCGCACCGGAAGGGGGGGGGGGGGGGAAGAAGTGATTTTTAAATGAAAAGAAGAGAAAAGTGAGCCCCACAACTGTCTCTCAGGGGGAGGACACCTCAACAGTAGCTCACGAGGGATGGGGGTAGAGAAGGGAATAAAAGGATAGGAGTAAATCGTGGAGAGATAGAGAGCGAGGAAGGAGAGAGCGAGGCGGAGGGACAGCAAACGACGGAAGTAAGGAGAAGACACGAAAGATGGACACGGTTGCAGGAGTCCGAGGACAGGGCACCACTCGCGAGAACTCTTATCGGCGACAGGAGACTGCGTAGGGCTAATCCAGTCGGCCAGAGCTACACTGTCGTCCTAGGGGACCAGCGTCAGGAGGTGGCGTACAACCAACCCAGTCGGCCAGAGCTGCACTGTCCTCGGAGATCGCGAGGGCACAACCGGTCGGCACGGAATCCAGCCAGAGAGTCTCCCGCAAGGGCTCAGGGTGTGCTATTCAAAAACTCCCTAATGTCATTGTGGCAAGCACATTCACTCCACTACTGCACAGCTCCGCTTCCTCCCTGTACAGTGTGATGACGACAGTGCTGACCACTATGGCTGACCGAAGACGAAAAAATTGTCCCGTGCCATATTTTCTAAAGCAGATACGGCCTCCGAAACTTGTAATATGACATTTCCTTTCCAATCTGGGAGGCAGGAAAACCATTTAAAATTAAGCCACTAAGCTTAGTCAAGCCGGCAGAAAATCCAACATGGCCGCGTCCATACAGGTTTGTGGCGCGGCTCAAAGCAAGTGGTTTAGTCCGAAAAATCCAACTTTAAGGGGCGAATTCGTCCAAAAAATCAGTCAATGAAATGCACTAGCCCTATGGGAACCCTGATGGTGCACTTTTAAAGTCCGAAATATGCAACAAGTCTGAATATTTGGAGTCCGAAAAATTGGTCGGCAACTGTATACCATTTCATATTCACAGCGAATAGACATATTCTGATTACGGTGTTTGCCAGGTTACTATTCGTTGATTAGACGCTCTGACTGGTAAGCCTTCCGTTGCACTAAGCAAAATAAGTACTGTAAAAATTGGTTGTCCGTTCCTATAAAATATCACATTGGCGCTTTTTCAACCACAAGAATGAACTTCCAAGAATAAACTTCGTGATGCAATCAGTTTGCTAAAAGAGATAACTTGCACGCACCTGTCCATCTTTTCCGATGCAGAAGTGTTCTGGCTCTGCACCCATGGTCTCCTTGGTGCGCTTTACCAAATCTTCCAGGATGCTGCAAAGACCAAATTTTTGAGCCAGACTTTGTGCAAGTGTGTAATCTCCCCTTACATTTAGTTAACCATGCACGAGGCAATTACAATAAAACATCACTAATGACTTGGCTTTGTGAGCAATCATCTATCAGTCAACCATGGTCATGTACATTTCATTCTACAGCCTACGCTGAAATAAGGCCCATCTTTCCTTTGTTTCTCAATCTCGATGAAATCACGCAGATTTAGTAAGTTTTTATGCTAATTGCCAATACAACTTTACTTTTTCTAAAAGTCAATAACAAAAACATACAGCTGCTTCTGGCCTCTACTGCGAGAAAGATAGCAAAATAAAAATTGAATGTTATAGTTTGATGAAGATCCAAAAGGTGAATGCAAAAATCTAAGCATCTTCAAAAAAAAGTGACCAACATAACTGACACTGTAACATGTTGGACTGTAACTTGTTGCATTACGGAAGGACCATTTATATAAAGCCTTCTGTTCACCATTTTTGTGTGTTTAAATTCTGCTTCATTGAACCAAGACAAACTACCCTGTGAATTCAGATTTAGCAAGCTTTTACTAATCTCACTCAACCTTCACTGTGGTTGCTTGTGTGAAACAGAGTAAGAGTGCTTTTTCAACAGTCGACGTACCTTGCTGATGACACAGCAACGGCACCAGAAGTCTGGCCCTCATAGTTTTTGGCTCCTGAAAACAGCAAAGCCCGAATTAGGAATCTGCAACATTTTTTCCCCAAAGGAACGCAGATATTACACCTTAAATACTGGAGTGTTATAGAGTGCTCTAATAAATGCACTATTCAATCTTCTTGCAAGCATATTTCAGTTTAGCTAACCAGAAAATGTGTGTAATAATTTCATGGCACAGAACAAACATGGGAAGCATTGCGCGTTAAGGTGACACACTGGTCAAGGGGTACTAACACCTTTTTTTGCAGGCGAGTTTACTCTGCCATACAAATCTCTAGCATACAGAGATGGCTCTGAGCAAGTGTGGCGCTCAGCAAATGCTGAAAAGATATTTCATTTTGATATTAACGTCAATTTTCTCACGGCACACCTACAGATATCAACACTAACTTGACGTCAGGCTACTGTACTAATCCTGATGGCTAGTTGCAATGACGTCAAGCTCCAAAACACAAAATATGGCAGCCTGTGCGTCGCCTTCTCGATCATCTGCTCGCGCCGTGCGGTTGTTGGCAGACTATAGAATCGTTGTGCCCCCCTGCCGCGAAAGTTGCCTAACGTGAGGTGTGCATCAAACGAAGCAGACTATCGAAGAAGCGATTCGCAGATGAGGATATGTCATGAAAACTTGCACGTGCACATACAGTCGAACGCCGCTATAATGAAACTGAAGGGGTGCGGAAAACATTTCGTTGAAGCGAAAATTTCATTGTAGTGAAATCGAGAAAATACAGCTGATATGAACTAGCAAAACAAAGGAACGTTTATTTTCAAAATTCAATAAGTGTCCGCTGCTTTTTATTCTATCCCAGCAGTGTCACAACGCGATTCTCACTCATGCGTAGCGAGGCAGTGGTAAAGAGCACACTGAAACAATGACTACAACCGCTTTCGTGAACGAACCAAACAGTTGCATTAACACGTTAACACCAGCAGCTGTCTGCCGTCAAAACGCCGAGATAACGGCAGGGTATCGTGGAGCGGTGACTTTTGCCTTATTTCATGTCATTCTTTTCGTCCATCACTCGCGGCTAGCAGATTTTATTGATAATGCGGACGAACAGCCCCTCTGATTAGTTACCACACTGGCCAAGCGCGAACAAAATGATAAGCATTGGAATTGGAAAAGGCATTGTTCCGCAGATGTACCAGCAGCTGTGCGAAGGAAACCATGAACTAAGCAACAGAGCTTCAGCTTCGGATCGTCTGCGACTATACAGTAAACCCAATGTTTAACATTGTGATGCATTTTCAGAACCTGAAAATACGTTGACGAAGCCTAAAACACGCGTTGGCATCACTAGAAACTACTGCTGTTCAGCAAGCATAGGTGCCATTGCTCGATAGCGATGACAATGAGATTGCCCTGCCTTTTGCTCCCCTTTGCTCAATCGACTTGGTAAAGAGAGCGCAAAATGCGCTCTATGTTCCACTGCTCGCACGATTGTTCTGCACACGTGTTTTACAGTTACTTCTACAGTACCTGCCAACCTGGCAACAAAGAAATTTGTAAAACCTCCGAGTGGAGAAAGGGCAAGAAGCTATAGACTTTTTCTTAATTTCTAGCTGTAATAGATTTGTCTTTAGCGACAAGCATAATCACGTTTTGCCTGCCACAAGTCAAATAGACACGCTGAATTATTCTCCCACTCTTGGCTTCAAAAGAAAAAAGAAAAAAGAACATCGCGAAAAAACTAGAGGGGGGGTCGCAAACACAAGTGCAAACATCGGCGTTACGGTCTTATAATGTCTTGGAGAGGCCGAACAAAAATACAGCTTCCCTCTAAGGACCAAGTCTCAAAGTGAAAACGCAAATGCTCCTGAAATTTCGCGTCATCAAAGCAATTAGCAGAAAAAATAAATCTATTTCAGTCATGACAACTCGTGTATGTCTTCACACGTGAACGGACGGGATAGCGCAGCTAGCTACCGCGAAAGCGTGGGTCATAATTTTGGCTTTTCTCGCTACTACATTTTTTGGACAGGAAACGCCAATACGGTTCTTCTAGCCTTATACATGTTTACCACCTTTAATATACCGCTGTGTCAGCCACGTGCCCTCAGAGTTCGTAGCTTGCTATCGCATCGCCACGACTGCGGTTTTGTGCGCGGTGGTTGCGGCTAACGGTAGTCTTGTTTTCAATCTGCGTGGCTTTGAAACTAAGTCGTTTTATGCTATCTATGATCGCAACTGCCGCGGTTTTGTCCACAGAGTTTGCGGAAAGCAGAATAGCTTTGATCGGTCGAACGTTGGCCATGCACACAGTTTCGAAGTTCTGTGAGTAACGTCGTCGCCTTAAGTGATCGTGTCAAATGACTGCAGTTTCGTCCACAGCGGTTGTGGCGACAGCCACACGCACTGTAGAAAACAGTTCACGCGTTGGTCACACGCATACTTCCGAAGCTTCAAGCATGCTGCTCTCGATCGGCCTTCGTTCAACGGTTTCTGTACTAAAGTTCGAATCACATGCCCCGATAAGGAACAGTGCTCGGAACATTAGAATTTTGGCCTAATGGGCACACGAATTTGGCTGGGGAATTTCACGAATTCGTATTTGCTGCGGTTTCGCGTCACTGAGACTCCACAGTACATTTAGATAAACGCCTCTTAAATTCATTTATAATAAAATGCGGTGGGCTCACAAAAAGCCTGGAACAGACTGGCACGCATTTTAGCCAATGCGTCCAGATCTCGCACACAAATTTCGATTCCCGGGAGATTTTCATGGCAACCGTACAAATAGAAGAAACGATCGAAATACGGGAGTCTTAAAAAATGAAAAAATATGGGAGGCTTGGCAGGTATGTGATGATGATAACACCAATACATAATGTTCTCTCTTGGTCGGCAGAATGTAGCACAATGCCGTTTTTGTGGCCTCCTTGACTAGCTACGGCATTGCACCGTAGCCAATCACAGAGGCCAGGCTATTTTACTAATTTAATTTTTTTATCTTCATGAAACTTCAGGCAATTCGTAAAATCGTAATTGCGGTCAAAATACATACATTTTATAAGAAAATCGCAAGAGTCGGCAGGTATGCTTCTACGCGGAACGGATCAAAGTGTAAGGGTGCGCTGTAAGGACACAGACTCCACCAAACTCTCATCCCAACAGTGCATTTCTAGCTGGCGCCTTCTTGTTCAAAGCCCACTTTTTACCGCTTACAAAAACTCGGTGCGAGAACATTTTCACACGAGAGTCACTGAGCATCTCGATAGCATGGAAAACTACCAGCGCAAAGCAGAAACAAGGTGTGTCGAGAAACATGCACGACCACAAGAGCAGACGCAGACGATCGAACAACTACAACGACGAACGTGCAAGAAAAAAAAAAAAAAAAATGATGTGCCGATCACGCCAGCTCAGATGTGTAGCATCTTATGCTACTTGGAAATCTGACGAAGTCCGCACCTTTGAAAAGCTCGTCCAATGAGAGCGGAGTGCCCTGGTGCCTTGAAGAGGTTGATGCCTGCTGAGCAGTGGGTACGGAGCAAGGCATGGGTGCTGTCGTCGTCTTCTGCAGCCCTAGCCACAAGGAGGCGAAGTCGGATGTGCCTTGACTGGGTGACTCAGGAGCTGGAGAGGACTGCAGGCAGATGAATACACCATTTTAATTGCATGAGCTGAAGTTACTACACTGACACCTCATTACAGTTAAACCTGCTTATAATGAACCTCCATATAACGAATTCCTCGATATAACGAAGTTTTTCTACTCCCCGCTGTTGCTTCATAGAAGTACATGTATTTGCGACCTCTAAGTAACAAAGTAACAGCGGAAGACAACCTTGATATTGTCACGGGGTCGTGACGTGGCCAAAGACAGGAGACTTTGCATTGGAATTTAACTGTTTATTTGGGCGAACCTGTGCCCGGTAAACGAAAGTCCGATTACAGTAGCAGTCTTGGACTGATAGCGGCGAACGGAGCGTCGGCCGTCGATCAACTACTCACAAGCGGCGAAGCGCGTCGGCATTTATACTCTTGCCATCGAATGTTCTAGCGTTATCGCTGGCGGTGGCGTAGGTTGCAGAATAATCTGTACAGTTCGCAGAGTAGGCGTGATCTTATCCAAATGATCTACTACAGTCTGGAAGCTTCTCGAAAACTGCAGGCGCAGTTTGCGCTGAGAACTGTGTAGTGTTTTGGGACGATAACAAAACTTGGGAAATGGAACGTGGCATTGCCCCCTCTGAAAAAGGCATTGTCCAATGAATTTTCCCCACGGACAATCTAGGAACTTTTCTCTGCATTTCATTTTGTTACGAGCATGCATCTTTCGCAGCTGCCCCTCCGCCAACTAAGCGGCACAGCGCGTGATGCACAAGGCGAGAGCAAGCGCTCGTTATTGCGCACGGGTGAGTGCGAGTGGACCTGCACCCTACGAGCTGGCGTTGCTGCCGTTCTCGCCGCCGCCGGCGCATGCATGAGGGTGCCCCCCTCCGAACCAAATAAAAAAAAAAGAAAACTACGTTTGCGCGTTGGCAGTGTCTCACTTTAGTTATTGTCATATATGTGGGGCCTGCGCTGAATATGGAGGGCGCTTTACCGAATACTTTTCCGCGGTGTCCGTGTCGTCCGCTCTTCATTTTCGAAGCCGTGCGCGCGTGCATAGTTTCACTGCGCGTATGGTGTGGCCCCCGCCAACATTCAGCTTTGCTTTCTTTTTTTTTTATTACCATAGCATTTATGCAGAGAGTCCCGGCTGGTTTATTGCCGTCGTCGCCGCAGCCGTCATTCACCGTATATGTATGTATTCGATATGAAAACTCAAAAGGAAAAAAAAAAACAACACCCGCGCTCATCACCTAGTTACCTAGTTTATCACGATGGGACGAAGCACACTTATCTTCCACACATACTTTGCCCCGCGAATAGAGGGGAGGGTAGATGCATGGGTGCGCAGCGCGCTTATCCTACGGTGGGGAAAATAGCTCCTTCGACATTGACTCGAACGATTGCGTTTAGTTGCCGGGCGCTGGACAGGCACTGTTTGCGAAAAGAGTGCGCTTTTAAAAACAGCGAAGTAGTAACTAGGGTACTTGTTAGTTCGCACTTATACCTGTGATTACATTTCGTGCCTCGTTTTTGTTTAAACAGTGCGTTAAGTGCCGAGCAGTAAACGTTGTCAGTCTGCTCTCGTCCTGTGAATCGTTTTCGAGCGTCATTTGCACGTGAGCAGCGCGTTGCATGTTTCGGTCTGCTTGCCGTTCTTAGCGTTACATTCAAAGATTGTTGCTAGTGCAGTCATTAATTGCTTCGCCCTTGAGGCAAAACTGTAACTTTGCTAAATTTCGGACAACCGTGTCGTCGTCATCGAGGGTATGTCAGATAAGGCGTGGATGTTAACTCTCCGAGACACCGGTGACGACAGATCTTCGGAGGTTGGCTCGTAGCGTGCTTCTGTCTTGCAACGCGTCGCGAATTCGCAAGCTGGTAGCTTTTGTGATAAGCAGATTAGTTTTGGCTACACGACGGCGCGTTGAATGCAATGCAATGAACGCGATAGTGAAAAATTAGAATGGTATATGAAATAAGGCTGCAGTCAACTTTTTTGGATCGAATATCGCGGAACTCCTTCTACAAAATGCTGGTGAGAGCAAATACAGCCTCTCTAGGGAGAAGTGCTCTTTTACACAGTCCCTTCACGTTGAAACTGCACTGATACTCGCCGAGATAGCAAGTGTGCCAGTGATCGCGACCGCCCTTAAATCTAAGTTTATTAATGCTACTCGATCGATTCCCCCATCACCCGTCCCCTTGCCCTCCCCATGTTGTTTCATGTTCGTTCAAGACTGGTGGTTTACTGTCTGAGCATTCGACGACAGTTCTGAAAGGCTGGAGATGTTATCTCGTGCACTTTCTAGGTGATAGGAATGGGCCGACTGATTTGATCTCTGATTCAGCAGCGCTCGCGCGCTTTTACCCACTTGTGAAAGTTACGAAGCACAGGGGCATCTTATCAATTTCGACTTGTTACGGAACATGGCGGCTATAGAAAAAACCCGCAGAGTGTATGCATGTAATTCCTATCACAATAATGCAGTTTTTTTTTACTGTGAAATAAGCATTTCGGGTTAGTTCTCCTTCAGTACTCCTCTTGTTTAATTTGTATGTTTATTTTCAGAATTTTCGTACCGAACCTGCATATATCGAAAACCTCTTTATAACAAACTATTCCAAGACTTATCAATTTCGTTATATCCAGGTTTAACTGTATAACAAAGTTGCATTTTGAAAGAAAATAAGTTCCTTGTATAAGAAAATTTGTTATAAAGGTTATTCCGAAGACTGTATCTATTGCACGAGTATTTTACATTGACTTTGTTATAACTGATATTTCGTTATATCCATGTTCGTTATATTGAGGCTTGAGTGTATTTATCTGCTACGCCTATTGCCTCAAAGCAGTTCAAAGCCTTGGAGAAACAACACAGCAAGCAACTACAGTGAAATCTCGTTAAACCGTAGTTGGCCGGAGCTCTGAAAAAGTACGTACTAAACGGTAGTACTGCTTAACCGAAATAGCGTCAGGTCGCTCACTTACCTGTCAAAAAAAGAAACGTTCAGGGAGTGCGATGAAAGAACAAAAAAACGTGCAGTAATTTATTAACTTCGCATGACAAAGTCTGTAATCTTCATTTGACGACGTGGCGGCCTAGCAGCAATGACAGCGGCCTAAAGCTCACTTATGCTGTGAGCCAGCTTTTCCGCCAGCCCCCTTTTCTCGGCAAATACCCGCATGACGCTGACGCAATGCGCAGCTTCGGCCACTGTCGGACCTGGATCACCCATGATGTCGCTTTCCATGTCGTCCTCATCACTATCATTTGGCGACACTTCGACAACCGAGGCAACATTGGCTTCGTCGGACATGTCCGGAGATGTCTGCACATCGCTGTCTGCGTCTCTGAAGTCGGGCAAGGAAATGCCTTCCGTAACGCCCTGCCGCTTCAGCACTTCAGCTAGCAGACTAGCAGAGTTTTGCAAGCTTCGTCTACGATGTCCCAAGTCTGGTCGATGGTGTCACTGGTGTCATCTGCGTTGCCCGCACACACACTGAAGCCAGCAAGCTTGAAGCAATGTCCAATTTCTCCTCTATTTTCAGTACTCGATGCTTTTGTCCCAGCTTCGTCATGACGCAAGTACGAAGCAGCACAAGCACACATACACAACACGTGAAAAACGACGCGAGAGCTGTACGGCACAGATCAACCAGAGAACACCTATGCACGGCGCCAAAGGAACAAAGAAAGCAAAGCAAGCGCACACCGTGTTTGCGTGTTTGTGCAAAGCGCCATCGCGTGGACAACACCAGAAGCCTAGCCGGCCGAGTGCTTCTTGTTGCAGAAAAATCCAAGAGATGGCGCTCACCAACACAGCCGCCATCATCATCAACACAAACAAGCGAGGCGTGTTTCAATCTCTGGGGGCTTGCTGTTCCGTCGGGACGCCCAGTGAGGGACGACATGCCGCGGCGAGTGCGCAACGAAAATTGGAAAAACTACTTATTAACCGATACATACGCGATAAGCTGGTACAGCTTATGTGGATACAAAATGCATTATGTTCAATAGCCGCTGAGTCGGGGATTTGACTTCACTACTTTTAAAACGAAACTACTGTTTACGCAAGTACGGTTTAACGAGGTTTCACTGTACTGATTATGTTTGAAAGTGCTTTTACAGCAAATTAGGACACTGCAAACAAACAAGCAGGATGTCTAGATAACTCAGTAACAATTGCCAATGTGGACAAAGGTTAGAAACTGATGAGACAACGCACAATTCGCTTCTACCACCTCGTGCTTGCTTTCAACAACTTCAAAGACACCTGTCATGTTTCAGTGACTCTGAACCCCAAGCAATGCTGGCATGTCTCCATATGAAGTTTTCATGCAAGCTCTCTTAAAAAGTTTGATCGCAGGTTGGCCCAGCAGTAGGTAATTTATATCCGGGGACATGACGGCAGCACCTCCATTGTTGGCCATGCTATCACATTAACAAGATCGGGAATCTGCTAGTCAAGCAATTAATCAATCGCAAGAAAGTGCTTAAGCCAATATTTCACTACAATCTTGCATCAAAAAGCCTAACAATGGCTCACCTTCTGAGCTTCGAATGGTGAATTAGGCGAGTGGTGAAACCTGTTCTTTTCTTGCCGACGCTGCGGTGACAAGTCCTGCCAGCCGTTACCTGCGCTTGCGTGGGTGGCCCGTGGTTGAGCAGAGCCGCCGGTTCTGACCTTGTTGCCAGCGACCTACATTACACGAAGCCACAGGAGTAAGGCATCCCTTTCAGGTGCGCATTACAGTGAAATGATGATGAATGCACCAAAGTTTCCAGTAATTTATAATGAGGTGCCGGATACTTCATTGCAAGAAAGTAGAGGCTGTTCTTTTGCAAACCACGTTGATTATGAAGTACAGTATAACTTCGTTACAATGGATCTGCTTACAACAAACATTTGGATACTACATACTAATTGGCAGCATTATACCGACCTCCCTATTTGTTCCATTGATTGAGCTTCGTTTAATAAGGATTCTGGTACAACGGATTTTCGGATATAATTGACAAAAATGTAAGGCCAGCAAGGTGGTCAGGACCTCCTTATAGCAGACTTTTCTACCACAGAACTACTAAATTCTATAACTGCTGACTTCGAACATCACTATGAATACTTTCGGGATGAGAAAACAGCCACGGATATTGACGTACCGATATAAAAACGAAGGCTGCCGATCTTCAATATGTTAATGATTAGTTATGCCTAACTATAGAGATGAAAAATCGGCACACAGCATGCTTGGTTTTGGGTGTTGGGGCGCTGACGCGATATTGCTGACTGCTTCCACTGCTGTTCCAAACGGCCGGTGCATGGCGAGCTTGGCTGGGGTCCGCTACCGTCGCGCAAGATGCCTTTTCGCGGTTTAAGTAGCCAGTCGCCGATGTGATTCGTTGCCAGCGACAAAGCACATTGTGGCTTTTTCACTTTCGCATATCTGTTAGCATGATGGCCGAGCAGAAGTTTCGGGCCGGAGTTAGGCCTAGGCATGACTTCGAGCAGAGAGCGCATCTGTGTGCATGGCTGCGGCACCCGATGTTTAAAAGTACGACATGCTCGATCCCGAGTACAAAGATTTGCTTGTGGTAATCTTCGTCACAAGGCTCTAAGCAATTATAAGCAAAACCTTCCTGCCAACGAGTTAACACTATAACAATCTGTTCAAGACGCGTGTGTGCGAAGTTCGCAACGAGTGCGGCGCACAATCGTAATCTGATGACTGAACTTCAGCTTGTATGATGCCGCCTTAGGGCGTAATTGTATTCTGAAATATCGTTCACCAGTGACGACAGAATGAGTGTGAAAACATAACTAAGTAACATGATTTTAGACAGCCGTGACGCACGATAAGCAGACGACGTTATCCCAGAGGCGTACTGGAGCAACCTGGCAGAAGCAGCAAACCAGTGGCCTCGAAATGAATTTCGAAAATCTGCTTTTTGAACATTGAATGCTTTCGACGAAATACTTTTACGATGAGCCCAAAATTGTGGTGGGCAGTTGTGCCATTGCAAAGCTATAAATTTGTGAAAACGCAGGTTTTTTGTTTGTTAGTTTTTTATAACTTACACAATGATTTTCACCACCTCTGCAGGCACAAAAAAACTTTTTACAGCACTTCTACATAATTTTCAGTGAAGATAGGAAAAGTGCTACAGAAACTGAAGATGTTATTTTCAGTGATGTGATAGCTGCAACAATTGTGCCCAACTGCACCTAAAGGCCAATCCTGCTACATTTCCACTATTATGTGCCAAAGATGTGCAAACCGTGGTGTTTTCATATTTCAAAAACGAAACTACAATTTCCTGAGGTCGAAAAGCTTTAGCTTGCTGCTATCCTCACTTGCACGCACCACGCTACCATGGCTGTCAGCACATGTACTTTACATTAAGTAAAACTTGCAGTGCTTGTGCAGTGCTGGTCAGATTACCTTTCTGTTATACACTATAAACCGCTTATATAACGTACATCGCCAAAAGAACGCACATAAGACATATAAGCAAAACGCCTTTTTCCCTGAGACTGCAAATGTGCAAGATTTGTCAGACGGGCAGCCTTGCCATTCTGAGAATTGAGTCGTGCTGCAGGGATGTGAATTCTCGATTATCCCCCTTAAATTTAGAAATGTTCAAAGGTCAACGTTGGCAGGGCTGCTGTGCCGACAAAACGAATGCAGAGACAGAAGCACTGTTACAAAAAGTTGTCTTCCAACTTATCAGAGCTTCTTGTTTATGTGCCATATTTCCCTGAATAATGGAAAGCGAATTTCCGCTTGCTTTAGGCACGATGTCCGAAGCATTCGGTGGCCACGAGCCCCAACTCGAATGTTGCACATGCACCATGCACGCCCTCGTTATCGTAAACAACACGAGTCGCTGCTTTTATAATAGGAAAGTTGTTTCCATATACTATATCCAACCCTTTCAATATCTAAACACTGCAAAGCGTTTCGTTGACTTGGCACGAAACCACACATCTGCGGCTGCTACTGATGGGGCGGTTACACGGTTAGCACTCATTAGGTCCAGCCTGCAAACTTCAACTCAATTAGCGCGCCGCCCCGGAAAGTTTGCCTTAGAAAACAAAGAGATTCGGGCATGAACAAGGTCGCACTCACAAGCTTAAACGAGGGCAGCACGAGTGGAACCTAAGTTTGGGTACAGGGTCGAGAGAATAGCTGCTGTGACGACTAAAGCGTACCCAGCTCTCTTAGTCCGCCTGCTAGTGCGAAATGCGACAGCGCACATCGCAAAGCCTTTTCAATTGCGCAACAGCCCCTTCAATGAATTGAGATCACACACGCGATATTGAGATCACACAACGGCGCAACAATTTTCTATCACGGACGCGGGCCACGTGCGAGCGGTTGTTCTGCATGGGGCGCGTGGCAAGCGGTTGGTACAAAGGCTTTTTCGATGCAGAGACAACCCGTCCTTACTCCGTGCGCCCTCGACGCATTCTTTTTAAGAGCGAAGTTAGACGAAATGTCGGATGTCTGTAAAAAAAATATATATAATAATTTGGCCAGTTGCTTATCACTAGAGGGAGCCATAAGACAGCTGCACATGCTCGCCACCACCTGCATCTGCTCGCCACCTCCGCCCAGCCACGCATGCGCCAAGGAGCAGCCGCCGCTGAGTTTTTTTGCTGTGGTGCGAGTAGAGTACCAGCAACGATAAGCCCACACCAGATTTGCACGTTAGTTCTGGCATTGAAGTTTGGACATTTTCGCATGGTCAGTGACAGGCTGTAGTTGATTCTGTTTTTGCCAAGCAAAGACCTAGAATTTCACCTAGAGGCCACGTTAAACACCTAAGGCCAACCAGCTTCGCTGTTACTTCAGCTTTTCGTGGCTAACCTTCCTCCTCCTTTTTTCTTCTTTCCCACATTGCACTCCTTGTTAGTTTGTTTCGTGTCCCCTTCTCCTTCGTAGCGCTTTCTTCGTCGTCTCTTCCCTGCTGGTGTACCTCTGTTGAGAGATCATTACCTCGCCTATCAGAGAAACATTACAACCGGTCTTTCGGGAGCTGCACAATGAGCAATATGTGTATACATGTAGTTTTGTGGAATTACAAACGATAGAGGAAATAGTCTTCTTCGTAACCGGCCTTGCACTATATGCAGTTACGCTTCGCATAGTCCGAAGTGTATGTACATAGAATGTTGTGAATGCATCTTAGTTACGCTTTACTCAGATGTCCTAGTTGTCACCACATCAGTTTTTCCCAGCAATGACCCTTTAGAAAACCCAGCAGCCTTATTCATTGCTTTAATGTATGCTTTTGGTTGCTTGTAAAGTCCCCCTCCCCTTTTTTCCCCACTGCTCTGAAATGTTGGTGGTTCCAAAAACCTTTTTTCTTCTCTAAAATATGGCTTTGGCTGCTCCAGAAACCTGTTCCACAATGGCCACAGCTAATCACATCCCTGTATTTTCGAGAACTTTAATGTTTTTTTATGCCCCCATTGAGAATAAATTCGTATGACCTATAGTTCTCTCTGGTTATACCTATTCAGTGTTTCCAAAAAGTCTGCTGTAACAGTACTTGGATTTTACATACTCCCTTTATAACAGACCAAAATCCTCTTCACTATGATAAGGTTATACTGTAATTAAATATTACCATTTATTTCTTGTGCAGTCAGTGGTGTAGTATTGCATAAAAACAATTGAATAATTAGTTCAAAGAACACGTTCGAGTTTCTAATTGCCTTGAAGCATTGTTATGAGAAAAGAACATTCTCGTGCTGTTGCTGTCCTCGGCACAAGAGAGAGCATTTCATCTAATGTGGCATGTTGAAGATTGTTTGCATACGGCTGAAAGTTATTTAAGAAGACAACCTTCAATAATATATGGCATACAGTGACGTCAATACAAACTGAATATGAAGGATATTCAATTGAGAAAGCCCAATGCTAGCTGCCTTTTCTTTGCCATTACTCGTCGTAACTAGCAGCATATACTGCACATGCAGGTGTGAGCCGGACAGCTGAAGGGGATGTCTGATTGTGCTGCTTTCTAATCATGGATTCATGGTATTTTACGTTGAGTCTCAAATTAACGCTGCAGCTGTGAGAGGCAGCATAAGTGCCACTTTTGATAACAAGTTTTACAATCTGCATTGTCTGTAATATGACACTAAACTCAATGACGCAAGCGCATTTTGCCTTTCAGCCCCCAGCGAAATGTCACCCTGGGTTCAATCGCAAGTGCTGGAACCTCGTTAAAAGGAACCTTAAAGGAGGAAGAAAATATGCATCACTTAGCCAGAGTTCCAATTACTGATAGATTAACAGGGGTGTGAAGCTGAAGTACAAAAGTAATCATATTCCACTGTCCCATTTAGGCGACAGTTCCATTTAACAGGTTTCCATTTGCTGAGGGTCTACTGTACATACTTACAAAGCCACAGCGATCAAACCACAGCGGTACATCGGATGGCATAAATATTCAGCTTTCTGTTATTCGTAAGGACTGCATATCACACGAACAGAGACGAAAGCTTTTCTTTTTCTGCAGCAAAGAAAACGTACGGTGCATCACTTGTTTTAAAGGGCCAGCAAACAACCCCGAAGTCCAAATATTGTTATAAAGAGATATATGTACACTTTTGCTTTGTGAACATGCTGCTGCAAGAATTATGCGAATGTGTGCTATGTTACGGAAGTTACAGGGGTTGAAACATCAGTTTCAGCTGGTTTCAAATTTTCGCGCTGACCTTGCCACCCTTCTCTGCCATAGGGAGGGAGAAAGGTAAACCTCGTCATCATGGCTCCACACATTTCCGCAACATGACACGACGTCAGAAATTGACATCATTGGTGAGCTCAATCAATCGCAACGCATTTCCACTAGCCGTGGTGCCTCGCTGCTTACTTTTTGCGACTGCACCATCAGTGCTAAGAAACAAGGGGCAGTTTCGTAGCGACGGTGGGGACAAGTAACTGACGTTGACTTCACTACTGTTTGTTGAGACCTGGTTTAGACCAATCGACGACCGGTGACTTAGCATCACTGCGCGTGAAAGTAGGATTGGTCAGGTGTAGGAAAAGAGGGTGGGAATTGCTTTTAAAAGTGGAGGCTCTGGGTGGCCTGCAGGGTTGTAATATTCGGAAACATGATTGCTGCCGTCTACTCTACGAATTGCCGAGCTTGTTTGATGTGTGTGAAAAAATGTTGGAGCCTGTTGACTAGCCCCTTAACAGGAGGCGGTATGAAATAGGAGGCATAAAAATAGCGTAAGGGATCCCACCATATTGGGTACAAACTTCATGCCATACAGCAGACAAACACTAGTGCAGTGATGGAAACAAGCTATCATCTCACCGCTGGGTATGAATCTGCCAGTTGCTGGCGCCGTGCTGGCACCTGGTAGAGTTGCTGGCTCCTCTGGATTCGGCTGCCATACGACAGGTTCACCAGGAACAAAATAGAGATGCGGTAGCCGCGATGCTCCGAGCACCGCAGGGGGAGGCCGCCCGCAAACGGCTCGTCAAACACCACTTCGCACATTTGTGGATCGTTATCTTCCACTGAAGATAATCAGAGAAGAGGAGAGATCTTTATCAGAGTCTGGAAACTTTGTTGACTGAAGTTCATTCCTGAACAACTTGTGTCTTAATTTTGAAAGAAACTGTCAAGTGGAAAGGAAATGCCAGTTTGACAGGATCGGAAAAGCACACGGAATTCAATCAGATTGATTTGATTGATATGTGGGGTTTAACGTCCCAAAACCACCATATGATTATGAGAGACGCCGTAGTGGAGGGCTCCGGAAATTTCGACCACCTGGGGTTCTTTAACGTGCACCCAAATCTGAGCACACGGACCTACAACATTTCCGCCTCCATCGGAAATGCAGCCGCCGCAGCCGGGATTCGAACCCGCGACCTGCGGGTCAGCAGCCGAGTACCTTAGCCACTAGACCACCGCGGCGGGGCTCGGATTCAATCAGAATCACACCAACAACGTCATCAGCTTATTTCATGTCCACTGCACGACAATCTCCGATTCGCCTTGTCTTGTGCGAGACCATTCCATTTACTGCCTGCAAATTCTTCATTAAGTACCCTGTGTAACTCTATGCCCTTCTCAGTTACCTTTCCCATCTCCTGTAATCCACCCTATCATTCTAACTGACTGTCATTCATAGAAACAATTCAAAGAGCATAATGTAAAGTAATATGTGAAACTAAAAGGCCAAATAAATACACATCCAGATTAATTACGGTAACAGTTTCATGCAAAAGATGTTGATTACTAAACTCGCACAGCCATTGTACTAACACGATTAACATGGGTCTGTTACTTTCATTGGCAGCTCGCCTTTTTATGTAGTACTTATACAACACCGCTGAACTTCACATTCAAGCTCTACAACAGAGATTATTTGAGAGTTTATTTTCCTCATTTTTCAGCAAGTGTAAAACGAATCAACGTTTTTAAATAACTATTAAGGCTCTGACAAGAGACACTCGCGGGCTGATGAAAAAAAAAAACAAAAACGCCTAAACAGTTCAAAAATAAAAGACAAGATTTAAGCTCCTAAGTTTCTATCTCGTTCGAGGCGAGCAGAGTGGCGGCACAAGATAGCTTGGTGGGCTGAACGACAAACAAGCACTCCAATTCACTAAACTTCATGGCCACACATTTAACAAACTTAGCATCCTTACTATATATATATATATGTATGTGTATACATATATACACACATATATATATATATATATATATATATATATATATATATATATATATATATATATATATATATCAAATTGAAATTGGAAGTAGGAGAAGCAATCGAAATTGAAATTGGAAGTAAGAGGAGCAATCGCTGCAATGTCGTTAAGAAGCAGCATTGGCGAGAAACCTTAGATTGCCCCGCCACGGTGGTCTAGTGGTTAAGGTACTCTGCTGCTGACCCGCAGGTCGTGGGATTGAATCCCGGCTGTGGCGGCTGCATTTCCGATGGAGGCGGAAATGTTGTAGGCCCGTGTACTCAGATTTGGGTGCACGTTAAAGAACCCCAGGTGGTCTAAATTTCCGGAGCCCTCCACTACGGCGTCTGTCATAATCATATGGTGGTTTTGGGCCGTTAAACCCCACAAATCAATCAAACCTTAGATTGAACTTAGAGCACCTGTTCCCCCTCGCCTACCTCTCCAGCTTCCCATTAAAATAATTTCTCTCTCTCTCCTCCCTCCCCCACTTGCACACACACATGCATTTCTGCATTCTCATACACACTAAAATGAGGCGGCTGCTATCAAATTTGTGACTTTGATAAAAAACTCCATTGTAGTGAATTGCAATTGTAGGTTCGTTATACAGTTGACAACAATCAAAGTTTCTATCTTGAATTTTGTGCTGAGGCCCTGCCACCTAAATGGATATTGCTGTGATGTCGCACATTTTAAGGCCATTTTTTCGCATTCTGGTCACGTTGGCTCAGTAAAGTTTTCTGAAGCTTGCCGTGTTGTGTCTCTGGCCTGTTTACTTTGTAACTGACAAAGAATCATATAAGCCCTAGTTGAAGCTACCGAGATCTACAATGCCATGGTGAGTTGGTGCGTGAACTTGAAGGCCACATTGCCACTTTTATCATTTTTATTTCTTCATCTACTTTGCCCACTTTCCGGCTCATAGAGTGCCCCTCGTGATATGAAGGGCGCTCTTGACGTTGTGGAAGGATAGTAAAGTATTACGGGCGAAATTATTTGTCTCTTCAGTGTCCCCTTAGTCATGCAGAATGCCGCAGCGACACTTACACGGGAGGAGGCCGATGATGGTTCCCCGGTATCCCAGTGGAACTGCGATGTTTTCGCGGACATTCACCACTCGGTCAAACAAGCTGTACGTGGCCTTGGGATCAGGTGGTACCCAGCCGAACTGCAGGCCTGGCCGGTACAGGTGCTTGGGGTGGACGTCCAAGAGCACTTCCTGTGGTGGCTGTGTGCTCTGTTCCACGTAGTTGATGCACGAGGAGAAGGACGTTACAACGCAGGCAGCATGAGAACTACTCAAACAGAGCCCGGCAGGATCAATGAAAGACCAGTCAATGTCGGAAGAATGTTTACTACCCTCTAATAACGCTAGCTACTGCCTCAGTGCTAAAATACACAAAACCCGAGGCAACTTCATGATAAACATAGCTGCTTCTTGCGCAGCAAGAGGTGCCACACCTGTGCGACAAAAATTTGTTACCATTTCCTTTTCATCTTGTGGCAAAGAAAACTTTATAACAGATTCAATTTTAAGTGTACATTCTGTATATGGGGTTAATTATTGTTTACCTAATTGAGTCCTAAATTGACATTAAGACACATGCACTACATTTTACAGCAAAAGTGCAAGACCAGTTCCTTGGATCTCAATACACAAGACTATGGCTTTCACATAATTCAAGAAATTTGCTATGACCAACTTAACTTTTCTTGAAGGTCAAGTGAAGGAAGCGCACATAAAGATGTAACCAAATGAGACTCGTTTACTCATATTCATAATACAGTCGACACCCGATTTCCCGAAGCCTGAAGCAACCGCGAAAACGCCTGGAAAATCGGGCAGTCCGGAAAAACGAATGCACGTGGAAAATGCACTTTTTTTGTAAGTATTTTCTCGCTGACGAAGAGGGTAATGGCAGGAGCACAAGATTCCCATTGCGATTCAGCCAATGCATCGTTTGGGTGGCTCAGAAAAGAGCCGTTTATAATAATAATAGTTAAAAAAAATCCGACGTGTCCGACGCTACCTTATAGGTAAGCACTTGGGCGCAAAGAAGTCGCCTATTTTCTTTTGCACGCATTCCGCTTGCCCGCGATCATGTCTGCCTCAGTTTTAGTCAACGTCATGTTGCCGCTGTACGCCGATGACAGTGTGATTTGTGCTTGCGACAACTCCGAGCTCGTTGGCTCTTCATTCTCAGTGTTGTAGTCATCGGAATCCTCCTGTAACTTGACGAATGATTTTGTCATCGGTCAAGCCCGTACATAGCTCGAGGTCTTTGTCAGCGTCGGCGAAGCCCTCAAAGGTTATCCCGGTTAGAATTGACACGCTGGCAGTACGCAGATCGATTAGATTAGATTTGTGGGGTTTAACGTCCCAAAACCACCATATGATTATGAGAGATGCCGTAGTGGAGGGCTCCTGAAAATTTTGACCACCTGGGGTTCTTTAACGTGCACCCAAATCTGAGTACACGGGCCTACAACATTCCGCCTCCATCGGAAATGCAACCGCCACAGCCGGGATATGAACCCGCGACCTTGCGGGTCAGCAGCCGAGTACCTTAGCCACTAGACCACCGCGGCGGGGCAGCAGTACGCAGATCGTCCAAGGCAACATCCACGGAATGGCAGTTCGTCACACACGCTGTCCACTTGGGGTGAGACGGCCGTTGGCGTCGAGTGTGAAGCCAGCGTGGTGAAAACAGTTCCGCAGAGTCTGTTGCGTAACCGCCTTTCACGATTCTACTAGCATGCCGACAGCAGACCTGAGGTCAACAGCGTCCCGCTGTCGGAGCAGAGCACCATGCGGCTGAGCACGCATGATTTGTACTGATGCTTCAAGTTCCGAATCACGCCTTGGTTTATTGGCTGCAGGATTGCTGTGGTGTTCGGCAGCAGAAATTCAATCTGTATAGCCTTTAGGTTTTTGATGTAACCATGCGCAGCGCAGTTATCCACAAACAGCAGAACTCTTCGATTTTGCTGCTCGAACCTTCTGTCCAGCTTGCACACGTGCGCTTCAAATAACTGCTGCATTACCCACGCCTTCTTGTTAGCTTCATAGAGAACAGGCAGAGTCACTGCCCCCTTGAAACATCTTGGATGCTTCAACTTGCCTATTACTAGTAAAGCAAGCTTCTCGCTGCCTGACATGTTGCTGCCAATAAGGTCAGTGAGCCGCTCCTTGCTGTGCTTGCCGCCGTGGCAGAGGGTCACCAGCAACTGCAAGCATTTTCTCTGGCAGCAGCTTGTAGAACAGTCCAGTTTCGTTGCAGTTGAAAATATCATTAGGTGGAAACTGCTGAAGCAAGGACTGTCCGCTTTTGATCCCAATATTTGGCGACAACGGAATCGTCGACGGCGCCGCTTTCCCCGCACATCTTCTTGAACTTCAAGTCATTGCGGCTCTTGAAATTGCGAAGCCATCCATCGCTGAACTTGAAGTCCTTCATGCCCATCTGTAGCACGAAAATCTCCACCTTCTGCTTCAGGATGTTGCATGACACTGGGATTTTCTTAGCGATTATGGCACTGAGCCACACGACGAGCGCTTCCTCAAGCTTAGAGTAAACACCCGGGCTCGCATTCTTTCCAGCACCGGTTGATTTGGCAGCCACTTCCAAGATCTTCACCTTGTTTTTGATGAAGTCCGAAACAGTTCGCTTCAAAATTCCGAACTCCATCCTCATCTTTGCCTGCGACCGACCGCGTTAGACCTCTTCAATGATGGCGGCTTTCTTCTCCATCGTGAGTCTACAAGGGGGATTTGTGTGCTTCAAAGGCGCGGATGAATACGAAGAAGCAGTCAGTGCCATCGCTGTAAACGGCAAATCCGCTGAACGAAAAGCGCAGCACGAAACAGCTAGGAACTCGGTAGATGCTGAAGGTCGGGAAACGTGATCACTGAAGATAGTGAGCAGCTGCAAACGATCAACCACAGACACAACCGCAGAGCTGACAAAACAAGACGTGAACGAACACAGTGAGGTTTGGCTTGGCTAAGTCATTAAGCTACAGCTGGCAACGAATTGACACGTGCGGTTTCGAGGTTACGGCAGCCGCGGCAGGGTGCGGCAGTTGGAGGTGGGGCTGCTGGCCATACCTGCGATGCGGGTAGGGCGGGTTCAAGGATATATATAAAAAAAAAAAGGAAAAAAAAGACGGCGTTGGTGGTGACTTTGGGTTAGCGGTTAATTGTAAAAAGTCCGGGAAATCGGATGCCGAAGGCTCTAAGTGTCCGGAATTTCAAACTTTTTAATACACTGAATCTATGACGGTGCCACAGATGAGTCCGAGAAATCGGGCATGTCCGGAATTTCGGCCGTTGGGGAAATCGGACGTACGTTAACTGTATACCTAAAAATTACGTCTGTATGGATGATGTTTTAATGCCATAACTGGAGAGATAAAAAACCACAAATGTTTTGTTCTTTCTTTCTCCCCTTTAGTAAAATTGCTAAAGCAATAGTTAAAGAGTATTGACACTATATATTCATCTTTAGCCTCGTATGAAGATCCAAAGCCTAGAACTATGAAAAAAAAAAGCCATGTGGCGGAGCATTTAGGCTGAGCCAACAGTAAAAGTAAGTTTGTTTGCCTTTGTGAACACAGGCTTGCAAAAAACTGCACAGCGTAAAATTAGTCATTAGGCACATGGAATGTCGTTAACGAAACTACAGCCCTCTCAGATTTCTCTGCAGCACCTTCTGCACAGAAAGAAAAAAAAATTTGTACCTTAGCCCTTTTGACAGTTTCCTCGATAGCATGCACGACGCCTTCGTCAAGCAACTGTGCACCACTTTTCACCCGTGCAACCTTGGTGCAATCCTGTTCTTTTATCCACTTGGCCACCTCCTTCACCTCTTCTTTCCTGGCAAGACAAATAACGGTGAGACAAACATTTTAGTTGCTAGGAGCTAATTAAATTTCAAATCTCAGTGACATCTTGAATAGCTACCAAATAGCTTTACAAGATAGCTTTGGTCACTGTTCACTTCCATGTTAAGCCCATAGCTAATGATTCATACATAGAAGAGAGCGGACATTTATGAAGCGTTGTGCACAGTAGATCAGAAAAAGCAACAGTTTGAACACGAGAATTACATTTATGTGTAATTACTTATCCAAGCGTTTCTGGGCAAATTGTCCAAGGTAGGCCTGCAGCACAAAGCACTTATACAAGATCCACACAAAGATTTAATACCGTGTTTCCTGGCATATAAGCCCCATCTGCATACCTGCACCCCCAACTGCAACAAGCGGAAAAAAAGTAACATTATGTGTTACCCATAGATTTCAATCAAGTAACGTTAAAGTAATGTGGTTTGAGCAAGCTGGTATAGGCTCCTAGTTTTCATAGCTCAAAATCAAGCATATTAACTTTCTACTTTGATAAAGCTGACCCCACTAAGTATGCCCTAAGATTGCAGAAACCTTATTTTCACTCTGTTTTAAAGGGCCAGTAAACAGACTCCGACTTTTTTCCTCTAACACCTCCAGACAAGCTCACCACTTTGTACAGTAGACCACCACGATCACGTTTACCGGCTATTCCCTTGCCTGACCAATCCTCCTCGTACGCACAGTCCGACGAAAGTTCATCTATGGGCAACATTATTCACCACTGAGCGCGTCGATTGGCTCTTTGCCTGACGAAACATCGCCTTCGCCCTGCAGCGATGCAGCTTCAGCCGCGCAGTTCACATTTTCATTTTTCTGAGCTGCCCTCTGCCGCTTTGTAGAGCCAGAAACTCTGGGAGTAGCGGTATTGCCAGAATGAAAGCCACGGAGATAAAGAGGCGTCTCGCTACTATACTGCGAGGGAAAAAGAGCTCCTCACTCTGCGTTTCCAGCCTGTGCCATTATGACACGGGCTGTGGGGACACAGGATGTGGGGGAAGCGCAGCTCGGTCGAAGTCACGACGACGGGCTACTCCTTCGTGGAGAAGGATAGCAAAGCGGATGCACCAAGACTTGAAACCGGCTTAAACGAATGTTCTAACCCCTGTAACTTCCTTATATTATATCACGTATTTGCGAAACTCTTGTGGCAGCATGTTCACCTACCAAAAGCACACATATTTTACTCCATAAAATTTTTGAATTTCGGAGTTGTTTCCTGGCCTTTTAATCCCCCCCCCCCGTAACTCCTCTCTCACTGACAACCAATCGCAGCCACTGCTGTCACTGTTACATTCCTTGCAGTTCCATGATGCCACCTTGCACACCTAAATTTTGGCGTGTAATCCGCGGTCCCCACTTGAGCTCCGAATTCTTCCAACTATATTTTTGTTTGACAATATAAGGTAAGAACCTTGTAGAAAAGTAACTTCCACTAAGTGTCGTTTTGATGTTCTTTTCTTGCAGATCTCATCTAGGCCAACTTCAATGACAAAATGTGCTGGGCAGAAAACGGTTTCACTGACCAACACGATGCATACAACTTGTACGCAGGAGTGCATCGCATTAATCAAGTGTCCCAGCTTAGGTGTTTGACCCACAGTGCCTTTTTTTGAACTGAAAGTTGTTTAGCCATTCCTGCTCTCTGGTGCCCGTCTGGCTGCTAATTTTCTCAGGCATGTTTCGGTATCATATTCAAAAGGACTTGGGTGGCGAGGCAAGCTGCCAGAATTGAAGCAGCCGGACCTGCTATCTCAAATAGCCCGGCAAGTGAGCCGTTTGCTTACTATTATAAGACTGGTCATAACGGCACTTTTACTAAGAAGCTCGATTCTCATCAGTCAAATGAGGGGAAGCAAACTTTGCTATCGCAACAGCTCTAGGATTACAACTGTCCTACAATTCACTCACACTTACAACTTGCAGATTTCTTTTTTTTTTTTAAATTGAAGTTATGTTGGTCTTCTCACAGTTCTGGCTCGAACGAGCTATAGCCGATGAAAAGTGCACAGACTGTGCCATCTTCATGGAGTCTTCATTGCTCTGACAGTGCTGTTGGAAACATGAGAAAGCACATAGACAGGCAAGTGGCAATCAACTGAAAAAGTTGGAAGAACCCTTGAAAACTTGAAATAAACACAGAATTTTATTTGTCTTCAGCTCGCCCTCGCTATCCCTCTTTGAGGTTTGACAAATGCTTGGTTACATCAGCCACACTTGCACAAGTTGCTTGTAAGCAGAAAAATCTAGTCAAAAAGGGTGCACTAGGAAGTTAAGTTCTGGCATTATCCTTTCTTGCAGCCATAAAAATCAGGCTCGTTTTACAACAGTAGATATCTCAAGCCTAGATTACACCTAGTAACAATTTGCAAAAACTTACCCAACTCCCTTTGGGTAAAGGTCCTCAACTGCGATTTTGTCTTGTCCCAAAAACGGAATGATTCTCTGCACAAAGCCGAGATACCTGTAACAACGGAAGCGCATACGCATTGTTAAAACGAAGCGCATATGCATTTTTGCACAATTCGGAAGGTCACTGGAGTCAATCCGGGCAAGAAGAAAAACGTATATGAAAAGTTCCTGCGACAGATAAGTTTGTTCATTTTTTTTTTCTATGGTGATCTAAATTTCCAATCATATGAATATTCCAAGTGATTCTGTGAACCTCGTATGTGCAACATTTTAGTGTACATGTAACAATGAGAGCCAGGCAGCAATGATTAGATTGTGTGCTTAATCCAGATGGAAGTACTTCGGTTTCCGAGACAACATTCAAGTACAACCTGAGCTACTGTATCGGGTCTGAGGTGCACTTGGCAACCTGCAGTGGTGCACAGTGTTTTCTTCCTTTTAATAATTTTCGTAGAAAAAATATTTCTTGCATTTACTTCATCTAGCTGCCATTCTCACATGATAGTAAATATAACTGCCCCATTTTGTGTGCTCGCTTCAATTTACGCTACATGCAATTTTCTGTGAAGAACACTTGGGAACCACTCAAATGAACACATTATTCAAAAACCTACTACTTACTTTGCCAGGTACTCTTTGAGTACTTGAAGGCACTTTGTCGAGTACAGCCAAGCGTCATTAGTCCTCTTTGAGTATCCAGGAATCTGCGACAAAAGATTATGCACGGTGCTAAAGTAATGCCGCGAATGCCCGACGTGCCGGGCACACTTCCGAGACAGAAGCCGAGGAACTTTTGAAGTTGGTTCAGCTACACTATTAGAGTGCAGACTTAAAACAGTGTTTGAAAAACGTTCTCCCCTTTTTAATACAGAGCATTGGCGGATCATTTTGAGCAATTTATGCTGCAATAATGCGGATGCTGCTAACAACTACGATGTGGCAGGTGAAACACACCGCAAACCATCACCAAACTGAAATGAGCATTTGAGGTTACATGCATAATTAATTACGGTTGCTCTGAGGCCATCTACTTGCACCTTGGACTTTACCTTCAAGTTATGCCAGACATACATCAGCACAGACTCTCTCCATAATGCTGCACATCACGGTTCGTACAGTCGAGTGCTTACCTCTTCGGACGTTTTGTTGAACTTCAAGTGCAAGCCGACATTGACAAGGGAAGCTGCTTCTGCCTCCCTGCTGTTCATCTGAATATACACGGTGCCTGTGATGCGAGACACAAACTGCGCGTTGACCCCGAGCTGCTGCGACATCTGATGGGCGTTCATGTAATGGACCTGGCACAGATTCTGGAATCAACAAAGCAGCTTTATTTAGAGCTTTGCAAAGTTATTTACAGGCGGGCCTCAACCCCCATCTAGGCATTGGCCACAAAAAACTATGTTTAACGCTTCCGGAGCGAAAAAAAAAAAAAAAGTGTGCCAAAATTACCAAATTTTTTTTCTCACAGTTTGAAGAGCTTCCTTTTTTGAATAATACAGTACCATTCTCACAATTGGGTCCGGCGGCAGCATGGAAAGCACTCGCTTTAAACTCTTATGCTCTGTCTTGCAGATTGCTGCATGCACCGGAATCTACAGTGTTCTGGACGGACCATCTTTTTCAAGCAACGTACCCTCCCGGCCGGTCAACGAATGTTTCGTCTATTCCTCGTGCAGCGAAGTAGCTTGCTCCGTTATGGCGAAGAAACTTTTTGGCAACCGTATCAGCTGGACTGAAAGTGCGTGCGCATGGTGCGATATCAGGAACAAGGCGACATCTGTGACGACACCGGAAGATATAAAGGCATCGCATCGCCCGCTGCTCTTCAGTGGGTCCGGCGGCAGCATGGAAAGCACTCGCTTCAAATTCTTATGCTCTGTCTTGCAGGTAAGCTTAAAGTACAATTTCAAAAGCTATAGAAGTGGCAACTATTTCTTACTGCTGCTGCCGGACCCCCCTGCAGACCTCATGAATATGTCTTTTGTGCTGATGAATTTCTTGAGAATGCTGTTGCTTGTGTGTGGTGATGTGGAGAGTAACCCTGGTCCTGAGGTCGAAGACATGTTGCGAGAGTTGCTCTCGGGGCAGACTAAAATTGCAAAGGAGATAACAGGTCTTTCCTCTAGGGTTGCATCCTTTGAAGAACGATTAACTAAAATTGAAGCTGTCCATTGCGTCAATTACTGATGTTGCACCACGCGTGTCTGAACTCGAGAAAGCCGTAGCGGACATTCGAGAGATTGTTAGTAAACTGGACCACAAAAACGACGATTTAGAGAATAGGTCCCGTAGAAATAACCTGCTCATCTATGGCTTAACCGAAAACTCTGGGGAAACTTCAGACGAGTTGCTGGAAACGGTAACTGGACTGATTACATCAAAACTAGATGTTAAGTGTGGCGATATCGAACGATGCCATAGGCTGGGAGTGCGTAAGAGCAGTAGCACTAGCCCAAGACCTGTTATTATTAAGTTGCTGGATTTTAGAACTAAGGTCGCTATTTTAAGCAATGCAAGCAAGTTGAAGGACACGAAAATATTTATAAATGAAGACTTCTCTGAGCGCGTGAGGCAGATACGCAGGGAACTGTGGCAAAATTCAGCCGAGATAAGAAGGGATGCGAAAAAAGCCAGGCTGCACTACGATCATTTGTTGGTGGACAACGTTCGGTATTCTTGGGATGAGAAGAAAAAAGTTATCGTTAACGAAAGCCGTCGCCTGTCTGCTACAAACAATGAATGACGGCTTAGTGCGAAGTCCTTCGCGCTTTTGAATTTAAATGCGAGTAGCCTAGTTAATAAAATTGCAAACTTTAACTGGCTCATTGAGTGTCATCGTCCATCAGCTATCTGTGTGACCGAGACTTGGTTAAATGAATCTATCCATGATCATGAATTCTTGCCTCCTGGTTACACGGTTCTAAGAAAAGATAGGCCTTCTGGCCGTGGTGGCGGAGTGGCACTTTTTATTAAAAATGGTATTGAATTTTCTTTACTGCCAGAACTCCCAAATACTGAATTTATATGGTGCAAACTAATGCTTGATGGTCTCGCTATTATTGTTGGTGCTCTCTATCATCCTCCTAACTCTGCCTCAGAGGTTTTTTCGACTGTCAGTGACTATATTGTGGGACAAAGGCTGGACTGTTCTAAACTCGTATTGACCGGTGACTTTAATGCCCCCTCTATAGATTGGAATTTGTTAACATCAACTGGTCGTGACAGAATAATTTGTGATTCTTTAATTAATCTGTCACTAGCTTTCGATCTATCGCAGCTGGTTGATCAGGCTACACGCGAGGATTCTATACTAGATCTTGTTTTTGCCAACCATGAGTTGGTTACGAATGGATATCAGTGCAGGGTTGTCGATGGAATTTCCGACCATAAGGCCGTTATTATTGATTTAAATGTTGCTTGTAAGCCAGTACGACCAACGTTTAGGACTGTGCTGAATTTTGAATGCGCAGACGACACTTCTATTTTTGCTAAACTTGCAACATGCTTTGACGATTTCTTATCGAGTAGTGACCAGTGCAGTATTGATACGTTGACTAACCAATTTTACAGTATAATTAATGAATGTATAGCGCAGTTTGTTCCTCACAAGAGCATAAAACGTCATGCCAAACACCCTTGGTATACCAGGTCAATTATACAGCTTAAACGTCGTATTAACCGACTGCGAAAGCGACGGAGGGTTCACAATAATGACGGGGAGTCCCAAATTAACTTGCTTAAATCTGAACTAAAAGCTAAAATGAGTGATGTCAGAAAGTTTTACTTTAATACCACGTTAAGCTCTTTTATGAAAAATAATCCCATTAAGTTCTGGAAAACTATCAATCCTACCACGGCCTGTCCGTCAACCTTCATGATAGATGATGTGTCCTGTTCTGATTCATCCAAAATTTCTGAAGCCTTTAATAAGTATTTCCAAACTGTATTTGGAGATGACAATGGAACGACCCCTGACATTCGTAGCAGCCAGGAAATAGATTCGTTTCCAGCAATTGAAATTAGCTACACTGGCGTTCTTAACCTTCTGTTGAATATCGACACTACTAAAGGTGCTGGGCCAGATGGCATACCAAACATGTTCTTGAAGCGTTACGCAGAATGGAATGCTCGTTATTTATCAATAATTTTTGTTAAATCATTAGAAACAGGTATTGTGCCGACCGTTTAAAAAATCGCCAATGTAATTCCTGTGTTTAAATCGGGTAATAAGCTACTCATTTCTAACTACAGGCCTATTTCATTAACGTGTACCTGTTGCAAGCTTTTAGAGCACATAATTCATAAACATGTACTTCAGCACCTCACTAATAACAACTTATTGTCCCGTAATCAGCATGGTTTCCGCTCTGGTTTTTCTACAACTACACAGCTCATTGAATTCACTCACGACATCGCTTCGGCTCTTAATACTCGAGGACAGGTTGACGCCATATTCATAGATTATAGCAAAGCATTTGATGTAGTATGTCACAAAAAACTTCTTACTAGACTCAGAAGTATTATTAACGATGACAAAATAATAGGCTGGATAGCTGATTGGCTATGTTTGAGGTCACAATTTGTTACGTTTGAGCATGCGCAGTCATCGTCGTGTGCAGTCACTTCTGGGGTTCCACAGGGCTCGGTGCTTGGGCCCCTATTGTTCATTATTTATATTAATGATGTCACACAGGTCATCAAGGACACACCAGTGAAGCTGCGATTGTACGCTGACGACTGCGTTTTATATACTAGCGTAAATAATGCTCATGACCAAGATGTTCTGAACAAAGTATTTTCGTGCTTTTGTGGTTGGAGCGCTACGTGGCAAATGAACATTAATTACCACAAAACTGTTCAAATGACATTTACTAATAAAAAACAGCCGCTAAGGTTTAGTTATAGTTACAATGGGCACTACCTAAACTCTGTTAATACATTCAAATATCTTGGTGTTACCTACACTCAAAACCTAAAGTGGCACCATCACATTGAAACAATTTGCGCTAGAGCACTTCGAAAACTGGGATACATAAAACGAACACTCAAGCACTCTACCAAGGACTGCAAATTAACGGCGTATAAATCGCTCGTCCGACGATTGCTAGAGTACGCCTCAGCGGTATGGTCACCCTATACTGCACTTGACATAAATATGCTCCAGGGCATACAGAAAAAAGCAATACGATTTATATTTGGCCGGTATGACCGCAATTTTTCTCCCTCATCTCACGCATGCTCATTGTCGTTAGAACCCCTTGCTTTCCGACGCACACTTGACCGTATCACTCTGTTACATAAGATTGTACACAGCCGCAGTTGCTTTGAAGCACCGATTACTTTTTGTGATTCAGCACGACGAACGACGCGCCGATCTCACCCACTCAACATTGTTCCCTTCCAGCCATTTGTAAATTTCTTTAAGCATTCCTTTTTTCCAGCCGTTGTTGAGATTTGGAACAACCTAGATGGTTCCCTATGCAAAAAACCAATTGAACTGTTTTTGAAAGAACTGCCTAACCATATTTTGTAATATGTTTTAAATGCTTTGTATGTTTCTTTGGTATTGCTTAATGTATGTTCGTTCCTTTTCCTAATGTACCCACTCCTGCTATGTCTCGTGTATCGAGACAGCAGTATCTGTAAATAATAAAATAAATAATAAAATAAAATTCAATGGGGCTCCTAATTTCACTAATCGCATAAACAAAAAAAAAAATCACTCAGGTGGCTTCACCACATGGAAATACGAGAAATGGCACTAATATTAAGGCTGAGAAATAAATGGCCCAAGATCCACAGACGTGGCCACCTAGCATCAAGAAACACAAGTATGGCAAGTGCAGTCTTCATTGACTCCTCTGTGAGACCAATTTTAGTTCATGACAAGTAAAGCAGTTACCGGTAATTTTGTTGCAAAATCTCGCGAAGACTACTCTTCAACGGTAGATAAAAAATTGCTACCATCTTCCCAAAGGTAACCCTGATGGGATGTGAAGCAGCAGCATTGTGCACGACTAGCGGACAGGCCGAACGGCACTAACGCGGGTGCTGCCGAGAGCGGTGAAAGATTCGTTTGAAGCGATGGCCAGCGTAGGTCTTGTGATGGCTGGCACGTGATATTTATTGCGTGTGAACTGACAAATCTGCAGAGTAGTGAGCGGTGGTAGGGCCAGGTGTTGAGGGCGAACGAACAAAACGGCAGCTGCGGGTGCACGGCAGGCAAGAGACAGAGTGACGTCGGTGCGCACTGCGAGGGGAGGGCAACGTTGATGCGCAGCAGCGGCGAGTGCGTTGTGGCACGTTCGTACGGATCACGGAGGGACAGCGTTACACAGGCTAGTCAAAAAGCTTATTCGCATCTACTAAAAGTAAAAAATTTGTTTTGGGCTACAGTTAAGAGTTGTCTCTTATGCGCATCTATAGAAATTTTAAATGCAAAGACGCAGCAAGAAAATATTACCTAATGTCCACTTAAAAGCCAGTTCATGACACATCGAGCTGCTTGAGCCCGACTATAAATGTTTTTGGCTTACTACGTGCTCCCGTCATAGTGCGCATTTAACCACTTTATGAGGATCAGAGGTATTCGAGTGTTCTCAAGTTTATTACATAAAAATAAATACTAATGATTAATAATCTGTGCCATATTTCCATTTCTAAACAAGCTTACTAAAATATTTCATGGCCCGAAAAGTTGAGACGTAGTACAGCATTCACTCGACTTTAACGCAACCGCAATTATAATGCGAACGATAACTTCCAGGAAGAAATAAAAAAAAAAAGACTCGCGTTCATCATTACACTATTTAGACAAATTCAACTTAGGTATTCAATTGTAAGTTGAGGGTCGCTTCTGGTAGCAAAAACCAGGAAAAAAAATCCATGTTACATTCAATAAGTATGGTACCAACAGTTTGAGAAAAGGGGAGGGTGTTTTAAACTGACTTTAACATGTTCACATATCAGCTGTAAATAATTTAAGGTGACCTATACAATTAGTCATCACAAATTAAGTAGGTAGAAATGACATAAATACTAAACGCCTGCTCAGGTTGCTGCTAACATGCTGCTTGTTTCATCTGCATAAAACACCCCCCTTAATTTTTTTAACTTGATTTCGATAGCCCGAACATTCTGCATGCGGGTGTATACTGTTCCCCCATGAAAATAATTCAGGACACATACAAACACACATACGCATGCATGCACACACACAAACACACACAGAGAAAGTAGATTCATGAAACGGAACTAGAAGAGACCAGAAAAATATGATCCGTTCCATTTAGGTAGAAACAAATAGGGTCGCACAATTCAGCTATGAAACCAATCATATTCGATGCAGTTGTTCCGTTGAAGCAGCAGTTCCATTTAACCGATTTTTGCTTGCTGTGTGTGTGGGTGTGTATACAGTTGAATCGCGATAATTTGAATTCGAAGAGGCTCAAAAATTTGTTCGAATTAAAAGAAATTCAAATTATTAAAGCTAAATGTACAGAGGGCCCACCACGCAGTGGCGCATGTGTATTGAGCTAACACAGGAGGGAAGCTTCAGAAGACTTAAATTTCACAAATCACAGGACATGTGACATTAATTGAAGTAATTGGTGATGCACACCTGCACACGCTTGCGTTGCAGCGAATCAATCAATTTGGCATGCAGTTAACCAAGCATTTCAACTTCGGCTTCAGCGTTTACCTGGCAACCTGGCAAGAGACGTAGTGTGCAGTTCTCTGGCGCGGCTAAGTCCAGCGCCAACACTGTCTCAAGATGATGGCAACGATTGCGTAATGGTAGCCACTCTCTACGCCGCAGCCACAGCGTGGCCAGCACATGGCGAGAAAGGAGGAGCGTTTCGATGCGGATAGAGGCAGATCAGCATTGGAGAGAGAACCAACACTCCGTGACAGCTTCTCTCCTTTTTTTTTTTTGCTCTCTTCGCACGCGGCACTGAAAGAAAAAGGGTCTTTACGTGGCAAGGATGGGAAAGAAGGAAGCGTGGCACCGGCGCGTCACAGATCGGCATTAGAGAGAGAGCCAACACACCTGTGAAAGCTCTTTTTTTCCCCTCTCTCTCTTCGCACACGGCATTGAGGTCGTGTTCACACATGAGAAGTGAATAAAACTAAAACGCCAGAGCAGCCGGAAAAGCACGACTGCGCGTCCAAGATGTTCACATTTCTGCTGCTCCATCTCGCCGTCGCTGCCATCAATACCTTGACAATTCGATTTTGTCTGCTTTCTAAGAACTAACGTTCATACTGAATTCTAGTTATTCACGCGTAGTAGCGAAAAGAAACAGGTCGCACCTTTTCAAACAATGTTTTGGAAGATAAGTCAGCAGAAACGACATGAGCGAATGCACCGGCAGCGGCGTATTTAGCTGGCTGTACACAAATGCGAGACACATTGGGGCATGCTGACGCGCTGCTGCTGCACCGTCTAATTACAGAGTTCTTGGCGATCGCACTTCAAACCAAGCTCTCGATGAACGTGTCCTCGTTGAGGCCATCAAGCTTCATCGTGCTGCATGGGTAGCCTTGCGATTTTAGCTAATACAAGCCACCGCCGACTCCTTTGCCACCATGTCGAATCTACGGCTGGCTGGTTAGGTCACGTGGTTTGATCTAGCAATTAAGACCGTGAAGCGGAAACCGAATTCAGTTTCGCGTGGCGGGAAAATTGGTCTCAGACAGTTTTATGTGCGCCGGTCGCGCAGCGTGGTTTTTGGGTCGCTTGGGCAGCGAAACGAGCCAGTTTCTGGAGAGTTTCGCCGCTTTCACTCTCTCCGAAGCCAAGTGTGAACACGCCCTGAATGGAGAAGGGCCTGTACATGGCAGGGGCGGAAAAGAGAGAAGCGTGGCACAGGCGCGTCACAGATCGGCATTTGAGAGAGCAAACATTTCGCTACAGCCTTTCCTTTTCATTTTCTTCTTTTCCTTCTTTGCGCGCAACGTCGAGGTGTCGGAAGTGCCTCCACGGGAGTGGGCGTGGTGCTGAGAGAATTGGCGGAGCGCGGTAAGTTCGAATTACCTGCCGCAAGTGCTTGCGTGTTCGAATTACAGGGCGTTTTCGCCAATCAGAATATACATAGCTTTGACGGGACCACAGCGCGAGTTCAAATTAACCAGAAGTTTGAATGAATGAGATTCGACTGTATATACAAAACTGTTATAAAGCACCTACCCTTTCGTTTCGAATGATACCATCCAAACTTGGCTCCGATGGCACTTTAAACTTGATCATTATACGTCCAGCTCTATTTTCTGGCTTGGCATCCACAACCTTAAAAAAACAAGAACAAGATTTGGTTTACCCACAGCACACAATTCATAACACTTATAGTATATTACTTTATCACAAAACCACTCCAGCATACCGCAATCACAAAACCAGCATTTTGAAAACTGTCAGCATCAAGAACATTATACCTGAACCACAACCACTTGATAGCCATGCATGAAAAGGTCAGAGACACAAGATTTCAGAACTATTTTAAATGGTCAGGCAAAAAGAATGTTTTGAATTCACTGGCGCTGCCCTAAGTGGTGCTGGCTAACATTTCCAGGGTTGCACATACAATGTAACACTATACTTTAGAGAGCAGCAGCACCTGAATACAAAACCAACCAAATTAGGCTCATTTGTTTTGTTTAAATGATATTAACTTATTCAAATTATACTGTAGACGAGTACAAAAGAAGGTGCCAGGGCAACCGACCACCGTAATGCGGAGGTCCCAAGTAGACATCACAACAGTGGCAAGTTGTCTCCTCAAGCACTTTTATTACACTTTATACTAGGATTACTTGACTTTAATTAAAACTACAAATTATGCTCCATGTGCTTTCTTAGGCTTTTTTTTTTCCCCTCTTTGATTGCATCTAGGAAAAATGCAGGTTGCCCAAAAGGTTCCCTTTTTTTTACGTAACTGATGAAAATACAAAAAAATGACAGGAAGATGAAAATGAAAGCTTGCGATAAAAAAATCCGCAAACAGGGGTTGTGTCAGGCTGACATTTCGACACAACCCCCATTAACCGATTTTTTTTTATGAAAACACGTCACTTAAGCATAAACAGTGCAGTTTGCCAGTTTACTCGACTAGACAGCTGCTTCTTTTTCATTAACCTTCCCTACGACTTCGTTTTTTCACACGGGTTTGCATACTTCTGAAATCTGTAACTAAGGAAGCTGAGATAAGTTGACGTTACCGTTCCAGAACAGCCATAATGCGGACTGCCAATCATGAAGCACGTCTTTCCAACAGGAAAAAGCTCTTCAATTGTTTTGAACTCTTCGAAGTCCGGAGATTTTTCAGTGATGTCCTGAAAAACGAAAAACAACAAAAAAGACACCATGAAATGAGATTCTCCTTCGCACACTAGAACGTATCTCTGAGTATACAGAGTCTGCCTACAAAGTAGATGAAATACATGTATTGCAAAGTTATTTGCAAATACATGATAAAAAATTTTATTTTTGAAATCCTTGGCTGTTAGATAAGTTGAACTACTAGGTTTTCACTTGTCTTTGCTGAGCTAATGTCATACATTAGTTCAATGGAGTAGGTGGCTGTGTGAGGATGTGTCATCGAAACTTTATGAGAACAACAAAATAACAAAAAAAATGTTGAGTAGCTATACAAAAATTTATCTGTGGCTTGTCTTGGTTATCAGCCGTATCAGTAGGCATGTGTACAGCTTACTGAGAGTAAAGTTATTGTATGTCAATATTTCTCAAACTTGTAATTGTTCCTTTCATCCTTTCAATTACAATAGAATCTCGATGATACGATTACGACAGATGTGAATTTCGTGATGATACGAATTTCAACGTTCCTTCGGATGGACTAAATTATATAAAACATGCTGCGATTCGGTGTTATACGAACATTTTCCCCAGCCACCACGGATGATACGAATGTGTGATTGAGTGCTGCATGCAAGCGGTGTAACGTGGCTGGTTTGTGGGAGGAAGGCCCATTCACACTTGGCCTCAAAGGGAGCGAATGCGGCAAAACTCACGGCAATTTCAGTTGTATCGCCACCTAAGCGACCGAAAAACAGGGCTGCGAGACCGACGCGAAAAAATCGTTCGGAGACCAATTTTTTCGCCACGTGATGTAAACAACCAGCAGTGAATTCAACATGGCAGCAAAGGTAGCAGCGGTGGTTCACGGCGGCACAATCATGAACTACCCTTGCAGCATGAGAAAGCTTACGGCCTTGACAAGGATGCGGGCCTTGACAAGGATGCGTTCATTGAGATCCTGGTTTGGATTACGATCACTGAGAACACCAGAAATAGAAAAAGGTGCAGCAGCAACAAGTCGGCATGCCCTAGCGTCTCTCGCTTTTGTACAGCAGGCTGAATCGGTCGCCACCACCGACAGTGCGTCTGCTCGTGTCGTTTCTTCTGGCATCTGCCGAAACAACGTTTGCAAATGTGTAAACTCTTTCTTTTCAGCGCTTTGCATGCATAACTACAACTCAGTACAGGAAATGGGCAAAATAAAATTTTTTCCCAAGCGGCGATGGCAGCATGTACTTCGAGGGGCAGAACGAATGTGAGCGTTTTCGACGGGCGCGAACGTGGATTCGCAGCCGCTCTGGCGTTTTCACTTGAATTCTCATGGACTGATTTTTTTTTTTTTTTTGTGTCGACTTCGCGGTGCGTTTTTTCGGCCGCTTAAGTGGCGAAGCGAGTGAATTTCCAATACGTCTTGCCGCTTCAGCTTCCTTTCATGTCAAGTGTGAGCGCGCCTTCAGCATGAGTGAGGAAACCGCGGCACTTTATTGAGAAATGGAGAAAGCAGGAAAAGAACTTCATGAACTTCTTTCATTTCTTGTCCAATAAAGTTCTTGTCCATCTTCAAGATCAGCTTCAACTTGTTTTTGGTTCATACGAATCCAGGATGATACGAATATTTTGCGTGCTCCCTTCGAATTCGTGTCATCAAGATTCTACTGTACACCGTGAACTATAAATTACAGATAGCATTGTAAAAAAATTATTACAAAAAATTGCCAGACAGTCGTATTTTATTCTCCACATGAAAATTTTAAGTTGCTCTGGTAAAGTTTCCGTGCACATACAAACGCAAGGTATATGTTTAAATTTTAAATAGCTATAAAATTAACTATAGCCGGGTACAACTTAAGAAGGCAGCGGCATTTTCCGCTCAAAGGTGGATGTACACGAGCCTCCACCAATATACGCGCACTTCAGGTGACTTCATGCGCTGGACTACACTCTAGCCACGGACCCAGTCGACGGAGAATATGCCTAACATGGCCGCCCTCGCTTCGAACTGGGCCGAGTCTCGTTGGGTGTGTGCGTCTCTCTTAGTCAGAGTGAATTTGAATTATGTGTGGCGGTCTTTCATGCCGGAAATATTATTGGGAGTTTACGATATACACTTTGTGTCGTGTGTGTTTGTTCTGAGCCGTGAGCCGGCAAAGAGAGATTAAGCGAACATCGGTGACGCTGCGCTGCGTCTGGAAACTGGATCCTGTGGTGCAATACCAATGCGTACAAACATTGTGCGTGTTTGTTTCATGGTGTTTTACTTGTGCCTAAGTGAAGTTACGACTAGTAGAGTTTGCCAAAGCTTGCTGCCTACTGTAAGCAGCAGGTGTGTTTGTGTACTCTGCCCCTGCGTTTCTCGTCAGACGTGGCGAAGTGATAGAGCAAAACCATTAGCAGGATAAATGAGAAAAGCATACTTGAATGAAAACAACCTACGTGTTTCTCAACAGAAAAAATTTTCAGCAGCAAGCTCCAATGCAAAGATTCGTTGCTGCCAGCTGAGCGCGCAAACAACATACCGGTGGCGGCAGTGTGATAAGATAGCCGAGCGTCAAGCAGCGTCGTTCGAGTGTTGTGCAGCAACGTCGATCGATTGCTTTCCACCAATGCTAATAATCAGTGACTAACATGCGCTGCTTCAGAGAATGTCATTGGATTATTAAGAGTCAGGCGTTTGGGAGCAGTGTTTGTTTCCTTAATGTTAGCCTCACTGCTAAAATAAAATTATGACCGATACACTGGTGCCGTTACAAGGGAGCTTGGCATGAATTAGTACTGCTGTGTGGCTTAAACCTCTTCGCTCACTGCACGTGCCAGATGTAGAATGCCTGCTGTGACAAAATCGCGCATTAAGTTGTGCTGCCAGCGCTCGACTTGCTTTCACACTATGCAGCTTAGCGCTGCTTTTCGACTGTTGTGATATGTCGCTACTGAAAAGTTCCTATGACAGTGAAGGCAACAGAGCCATTATGTACACTAAAAAAAGCACGATAAAGTAGGCACAGCTGCTTGTGAGCCGACTCCTAATAGTTCTACTCATGTCTGCATTAAATGTGTGTGCGTTTTGTGTACATTTGTTATTTTACTCTTTTTTGTATTTTAGATCTGCTTTCGCGCTCGCATACCTGCCAAGTTCAAGGATTCTGCATCTGGGAGATTTCCGCAACAAGGGGGGGGGAGAACACAAAAAACAAGGACATACAAACAAACAAAAAAAATGCGAAAAACAAAAGGCGGTGGGAGGGGGGTCTGAATTGCAAGCGCCAACATCAGCGTTGCGGTCTTATAGTGGCTAGAAGTGGTCGAACACACGAGGGTAGAGTTTTTCACTGAAGTAAGAGTCTCAAAGGATCAACACAACTAGAAGAATCTATGTCAGTCAACACAACTCGCGTGTGTCTTCCTGGGACATGCGTGAATGGACGGGACGGCGCAGCTGGCTGCTACAAAAGCGCGGATCAAAGCTTTGCTCACTACTACATTCTTTTTACAGGAACGCCAAAACACGTCTGGGTCCTTTTTATTGCGATAGCAATTATATGGACAGTCCAGGCTGTTTTTTTTGCTGTCGCCACCGCCGCCATCCTTCACACTATATGTATACATATCTATATATATGAACACTCAAAAAAAAAAAAAGCCGCCTGCGCTCGGCGCCGAGCTCGTCGCAATGCGCCGACGCGTGCTTATCTCTCACGTGTACTTTGTCCCATGGATGGATGCCTGTGTGCGCGTGCTTATCCGTTCGTGGGGGAATCGTGTGCCTTCACCTTTCACTGAAATGAAAACGCTAGTTGCCGGCCAAACAAAGGCCACTTTGTTCTCTGCACAGGCCCCTTTTGCGAAAACAGCGCGCTTTTGATACACAGCGAGGTACTGAGACACTTGTTAGTTTGTACTCATTTGTACCTGTGATTACGTATCGTGCATCGTTTTTATTTAAACAGTGCGTTACGTGTCGAGCGGTAAACGTTGTTAGTTGAGATTCTCTCGTCCTGCGAGTAACGTTTTCGTGCGTCATTTGTGTGTGAGCAGCGCGCTGCACGTTTCGATCTGCTTGCCGTTCTCAGCGTTACATTCTAAGTTGTTGCTGTAGAATTTATTGCTTCACCTTTGCGGCGAAACTGTAGCTTTTTTTTATTTCTTACGTATTTACTGCCTTTAACCTACTGCTGCTTGCCCTCGGAGCTCGCAGATCGCTATCGCGCCGCCGCGACGGCGGTTTTGTGCGCGGCGGTTGCGGCAAACGCTAGTTCATTTTACAATCCCCAAGCGTTTGGCTGCGCACTCGCCTTCAAAACTAAGTCATTTTATGCCATCTACGATAGCATCTGCTGCAGTTTTGTCCGCAGAGTTTGCGGAAAGCAGCGTTGCTTTGACTAGTTGAGCGCACACTTTCGCGGTTCTATCAGTTACGCCATCGCCATACATGATCGTGTTAAGAGTGTGGCGTACACGTATCCCGAAGGAGTACGGCCACCAGCGTGGGTCCGGTCTTAGCGAGCCGCAGGGCACGCGTTAACCGTCGCCGTGGCGAGAACACGATACTGCTCAAAGTCGCAACACTTTATTGTGGCAACACCAAACGCAGTACAGCCCGTTGCAAAAAGGCACGGCGGGAAAGCAAGTAGGCTTATCCACGCCACGGGCACAAAGTACTACACAGGGTGCCACGAGCACGTCTCCGCGGTAAAGGTGATCCACGGAGACACCGGAACAAAGGCCCTGTTGCTCGAGCGAGGGCAAAGGCGCTCGCGTTGGCTTCGGAGGGAGACGGGTCGGCGTAGCTAGGCCACGCACTAGGACACCGTACCGCCCTTCGGCCGTGAGTACGCAGTGGGGCAACAAAAGGTGAGCGTTCGCCTCGGGCGCGAGGCGCTGTCGGCGAAGCCCGACGAGCGACGGACGGAAAAGATTGCGTGGCTCACCGTTTGCTGTCCCGGAGAGTACTCGCCGCTCCCGACGCAGCACGCGAAAACCTCTCGGGAGTCCCCGCGCGCGGCGCCACAGTCAACATCCACTTCCGGGTGAGGGAGTTAAACGTCACTCCGCTCTCTCAGCGCGGCAGACATGTCGGGACATGAGAACGGCAGAAAAGGCGACAAAGCCCGCGCAAAGGCAGTGGGCTAGCCTCAATTCCCACAAGAGCGATCGTGGTTTCGTCCACTGCGGTTGTGGCAACGACAATAACACGCACTGTAGAAGACAGTGCATGTGCCGGTCGCACGCATGCTTCTGAAGCTCCGAGCACGCTGCTCTCGGCCTTCGTTCGACGGTTTCCATGCTAAATTCCGTATCACCCGCCGCGATTAGGAAATGTGTTCGGAACAATCGAATTGAGGCCCAATGAACATAGTCAAATTTGGCTGGCGAATTTCAAGAATTCGTATCTGCCACGGTTTCCCATCACTGAGATTATACTGTACGATTACATGAACACCTATTATACTCAATTATAATAAAATGGGGTCGGTTCGAAAAGCCTGGAGCGAATTGAGCTGCTTTTTTGTCAATGCGGCCAGATCACGCACAGAAATTTGAATTTCCGGGAGATTTTCATGACAACCGTACAAACGGAAATTGCAGTTAAAATCCCGGAGTCTCCCGGCCAATCTGGAAGACTTGGCAGGTATGTGCTCGCATTTGTGTGAATGTGTGTGAATATGTGAGTACTTTCATGTCTATGTTTATTCCTATTTCTGTCCTTTTTGCATTTCTTTTTGCAAAGCATGCTGCAGCCAAATATTTCTTTACAATTTCATTAACACATTCAACATTGCCGAGCACTTTTCTAGTGCGTAAATACGACAACATAATGCTAGCAAAGTTAATCATGCTAATAATTATGCTTGCTTGAATTTGCATTACTTGCCCAAGTCAGACTAACAAATTAAAAATTGGCTATGACAACACTTCAATTCTCAGTGCAGACTGGTAACAGAATCATAAAGTGTGCTTTGACTACTGCTATTTCACTATGGGGCATATCACATTCGACGGTGGCTGCCTGAACAAGCGTTAGGGCCTCACTAAGCTAATGATGTTTTATATTTGTTCTCTTATTTGCATTACTTGTGTGAGCCAAATAACCAAAATAAACAATGCGGCCACATGAATGTGCTTGGGCATGCAAGCTGCTAACAGTGGGTGTCAGTTTCGTATTGACTGCTGCTATTTCACCAGCACTGGCTATGATAACAGTTTAATTTTCGGTTCAGACTGCTAACGGAGCAATAAAGCGTGTCAAACTCGACGGTGGCTGCTTGATTGAGCATTTTGAGCTCGCCAACGATGGTCAAGGTTAACAACAGTGTTTCAATTCAGATATGCCAGCACCGAAATGTGTTTCTATGCCACTTTTCAAATCGAGCATGATGTGTGAGGGATGTTGCTTATTGAAGTTGAGCTTTTATGAAAAGAATACACCATAAATGGAATTGCTCATTTATTTGAGAGGTGACGTAATGAATGGTTGGCTGTTGCAAACCCATCGGGCGAAAATTTGGTAGTCCTAATAAGGGCTGTTTTTTCATTACTACGAAGCCGCTATGCTTCGTTAAATGGCTCAATGCAGAGAGCTCGCAGTCGTCACTTTCATCAGTGTGATCTTTACCCAGCTGGATGATGATGGGTTGAATGTGCTCACTCCCATACATGTCAAATAAACTGAACTTTGCCTCCACCTCCATCATGTGCTGAATGCTCTTCCTCCAGTCTTTGGCCGTAACCTGCTTGATTTTATCTCTCAAGATGGCGTTGGCCGCGGACAGCTTGAAGTCTCTGTTGTCCGGAGCGACACCATTTTTGACTTTGGCTCACACAAGCTCAATGGGATTCGCAGCAGGTACGGCGGGAGCCTCAGTACAATGAAATCGGCCCTTACAGCTGTGTTGTCTACGATGTAGATCAGAAAGCGTGACTTTACAGATGCCACCAGCTCAAGCAGCTTCTTCTTTATCATCCGTTTACTGTAGGTGGTGATCCTCTTGCTTGTGAGTCGTGTATCTCTTCCTTCTTCCAGGCCGTCGTAAGCAATTTCTCTTCTCGCCAGCTATGATAAGGTGTATTGTCCAAAACAATGACGCTAACAGCTGGCAACTTTTGCAGAACGTCATTGAACCACCCCTCAAAGCGATTGCCGTCCATTTCCTCCTGGTAGTCGCCTGTCTTTTGGTCTCAAAATACATTAAGCAGCCGTCGACGAAGCCATCCTCGCTGCCTATGTGCGTCACGATCAGGCGCTGACCTTTCCCAGAAGGTTGCTTTAAACCCGTCGTCAGGCCATTTGCTTGAGGGAACAGGCGTCCACGCCTCTGCATCACGGTGTCTGTCCACACGATCAACAGTGTGTGTCCGAACGTCACCCATGTCTCGTCCAGGTAGAAGATCTATCAGCCTTCTGCCTGGCAACGCTCCACGTCATGAAGGTAGCGATTACGCCAATTGGTGATGTCATCCTGGTCGATAAGCAGCGAGTTGCGGCTTCTCTTTTCATGCTTGAAGCCGATATCGGCAAGCAGGCGACGCACAGTACACTGTCTTAGTGATGGAAGTTCCATGCGCTCGGAGAACTCGGCACTTATCTTCTCAACCACCGGTATCTTGTTGCGGCGAAAAAAATCGTGCACACATGACCTCAGCGCGCACAACGTGAAGCTGTCGAATTTCGCGCTGCATCTTCTCTGCTCCAAATTGCATGGGGGCTTTCGCGAGGGCGTCAGTTTGCCACCCGAAAAATGCGAAGCTTTAACTTCCTCCCCCAGCCTGAACACAGTCCTTTCGCTAACACCGAGCATGTCGGTGACAAACTTGCTCATGTCTTCCATGCTGGGTTTAGGCTCCTTGTTGCACCAGTACGTGTAGCAGTGGAAAATTATGTTGAGTGAACCGCTGTTCAGGATGTGGCCGCTCTTGTTCTTGCTGAAGCTCCTTGGTGGTGTGGCCATCGAGGCGACACAAGGCTCGTACGGCAACAAAGGATCGCGTTCCGATGTCACCTCACTGGGCTCCATGGTGGAAAACTTGCAAGGAACAGAGTTATTCAATCATATGAGTTGCGAAACTCCCCATAGGATCCATGTATCGAAATCCAAACACGTCATTGGCCCCCATGTCGGAAGTGAGCAGATTGTCGTGCCACCTGTTGATCCGCACGCCCACTGTTCAATGCATTATTTGTGTTTAGTGTTGTCGCTCCCAGGTAGCGCGAACGTCAGCTAATTACTGAAAAATTGGTTCAACTGCGTGTCCAGGTTTTGGAACGCAGTTGAATAACTATGGCACGAAATGCCATGCGCCAACGTGTGCAAACTCACGAGGTTGCAGATTCACAACCGGGAGAGAAAAAAAAAGCCTGACACAATGAAAAAAAAAAAAAATACTTGCACAAACACACAAAAAGTACATATGAATCTTATACTCTGAAACCAGCGACTGCTTTACAATCGCACACCCGGTGCCGTCAATCTTGCTTTGTGGCAGACAATGCACAGCGTTGTAGAAGGCACGGAGTTATTTTTCTCTCACGATCCGGCATACGCTGTAGCATTTCCATCATTACAGTTTTACCAAAGCACTCGTCACGATACATAAATATTATTTATACCAACAAATACGTTTTAAAAGTAGTCACAATTTTTTGAGCGGGACTATTTTTTTAGTCGTGGAGCGAATTTGCTGCTGTGCTTCGGTCATCTGGACGGGGCCTCTCCTGCTACCTTCTTAAGTTGTACCCGACTATGGTTTAGCAGAGACCCTGGAAAATTATAGAGAGACTTAAAATATGTGCTACCACCTGTTTTTATTTTACTGCATGTATGAATGTGTGTGTGTGTGTGTGTGTGTATATATATATATATATATATATATATAGTGGGAGTAATAATTCAATGGGCCAGTTAGTCTTCGTGAAGGTATGGGATATGGCACAACGGGAGCGTTGTCAACAAGGATAAATATATTTATTTCCCAACAGTTTCGGGAGGGGACCTCCCTTCATCAGGGGATGAGTTATACTCATCCCTGATGAAGGGAGGTCCCCTCCCGAAACTGTTGGGAAATAAATATATTTATCCTTGTTGACAACGCTCCCGTTGTGCCATATCCCATACCTATATATATACCTATATATATATATATATATATATATATATATATATATATATATATATATATATATATATATAGATAGAGAGAGAGAGAGAGAGAGAGAGAGAGAGAGAGAGAGAGAGAAAGAGAGAGCTAGAACATTTATTTTTGCTAGTAGCCTTTTATAACACATTTACTTGCTTTTCAAACAGGGCTTGTATTGAATGTGCTGCTCTATTTCACACCTTTTCTCTTTTAGTGTTATTCTTTCACAATGAATACTAACCAACTAGCCCAAGTATTTCTTCCAAGGCTGCTCTCTGCATATACAGCATACGAACTTCCTTACACACCGAAAAAATTAATTTAGTTGCTTATTTTGCTTCATAGCTAATTGAAACTTGCCTCAGAATGAAGCATAGCTTACTAATGTTTTGAAAGGGGTAGCGTCAGTTTTGATATTCTTGTAAGACACAACTGCGGTACCAAGACATGAACAAAAGAGCTCACCTTCACGATAGACTGCAGAGCGAACGGGACACTCAGCTCTGCCCACTGCTTATCGAGTGTGACGCGACCTCTGGACGTGCAGGTGTACCTGATGGCAATGGGGAAGAGAGATATAATTACACTAACTAAGCTTATAAAAAAAAAGAAAAAGCAATTAGAGCATCTATTTATAATGAATGTGCCTATATAAAGTGGAATTCTGTTGATATATCTTATGGGAGCAGGAAAAAAAACACACCTAAAAAATTGCACCACCTAATAAGATAAAAAAAATACCAAAGAGTAATTGTCAATACAGTTGACACTTAATAGCAAAGGTCCGTGCAATCGTGAGTGATGTCTTTCCGCACAAAAACACAATGACGTACCTCTTTCGAATTAGTGGCTGCCCAATCACAACCTAGTTTAAGTTTCATGATTTATGAAGTATGCTGTGTACAGTATGCTTCTAAATGACATGAGTATATTATGGCTCAAGTGTACCGCTCAGGTAACAAGCAGTAAAGCTAATCCACAAAGGGACTTTCCAAAAAAAGAGGCTAGCTGCTTACTTTCGACCAGTCAACGTTTTGCAGAAGACCAGGATGTCCACTTCGCCGACATTCACGCCATAACGGCTAAGATAACTGGAAAAAAAAGAACAGAGGACAGACAGCATGATATACCTATAATATACATCATTATGTGTGGTTGATACGGTTTGCTCACAGCGATCTGCTACCATAACAGTAAAGTTGAAATATAACAAATGGCCTTCTTGGCCTGCCTGCTACCAAGCACGAACTTGGCAACAAAAAGGAAATAAGAGAGTTATTACTGAAGAGAGTACGCCAAATCAGTTCATACTGGTCATGCGTTCAAAGCAACATTTGCATTTTCTGGGCATATGGCTGATTGTTAGCAGAGAGAATGCGGGCTTGACTCGATTTTATCACTTAAACATTGAAATAGCAGCATCAACGGCAAAGATGCAAGTGCCAGCAACGTCAATGACACCGTCTACGGTGCTACTGGCCTGTTTCTATTTAGGTCATTCACCATCTGCTGTGACAGCTACACACCATATTTCATCTGCTGCATCGTGCCAACCTTATAACGCCTAACTTCATACACACTCATCACAAATCTTCAAAGTGCGAACACGTTCGCTCGTGCATAAATATAACACTCCTCTTTAGCATCATTCTGAATTTGCCCAAACAAAGGAGGAGAATGGGGTGCGAGAGCTTACCGGTCCTTGATTCCACTGACTTGCATGTCAAACACTTCCTGGTCAGTACTGGCCAACTTGTAGATGCTGACGCTTTCACAACTTTTGGCGTGTTTGTGAATCTCCAAGGAGTGCCTGCAGTTGGTACAAGAACACCCACATTGTACAGTGCTTAGATGCTACAACTAGGAGTGGACATTTAATAGCACTCAGTTTTGTGGCAGTTTTATGGAACAGATAAAAAGAAAACCAAAAAAGTATATTTATACACTCGGATAATGAACACACTTTCCCCAAAAATCAAAGTAAGATTGAGAGGTGCATTTATTATGCGGGGAACGAAATTAGCAAAAATACGGTAATTCAAACAAAAAAGTTAAGTAGCTTGACCTTTCACAATTTACATATATGTACACTGTTTGGAAACAGCTTCTTTATTGCACTTCACTCATCATCATCGGTGGTCGCTGGCGCTATTTTCTGCAAGTGCACTCCGTCAAGGCGTCATATTGCTTTCTGTTTTTCACATTATTTTTGTTTAACCGCGACACTGGTATCTGCTGTGATCTCGTAAGCGTACGAGCGTATGCTATGACCCACTCTGCAAACTTGCATGATGACGACCTTTGCATTGCAGCAAGTTACCAACAATGCACCAAGCTACCACCAAGACACCAAAACTAAGAGTGTATACGTAACAAAATCAATGACAAAATGCGCCTGCTGCCTCGACCCTTCAAAAGAACTGCACGTGGCAGCGGGTGAAGTGGGGGGCGAGAGCGAATGGAGAGATTTCGGCATAATAAAAGACGGAAAAGATCAACGGGCAACGAGGCGCCCTACGTCGATATGCGGGACCACAGTAGATGAATGTAGGGGGTGCGTTTATTAAGCTGGGGGCGAAAAAATAAAAATTTTGACAAGTACCATAAAAAGTAAAGTATAGGTTGAATTATTTAAAAAAGAAAGTGATGAAAAATCGATTCTTGTCTTATATACTGATCATTGGCAGAAAAGGATGTGAAAGTTTCGCAAATATGGAAGTCTAGCAACAAAAAGTTCTCTTGAAGACCCCTCATTACAGCACATAATAAGCAAAGACACAGGACTGATCAGAAATTGTGCAAGATAGATGCTGGCACTGACTAGCAAAAGGCACAGGGTAGGAAGCTACCTTACCTTTCGTCCCTGGTGGAGACGGCTACAACCAAAGCTTCAAGCAAATGGGGCCAATAGACGTAAACAGACTTGCCCAAGAGCTCCGTCGATATTTCTTTCAATGTCTAAAAAGGAAGAGTGCAAAAGTAGTTTTGCAAGACGAAGTTATCGGGTAAGGCACATCACATTGCTATTGCTATAAAGAGATATTCATATCTAAAAATATCAGTTACTGAATTGAATATGCGAAATTATGAAATGAGCTCCATTAGAGAGATGCCTTGCGTTTTCAGTACAGTGAAAAACAGATCAAAAGGTGCAGTGCAGTTTTCATAGGAAGCATCGTTTGTGGTGTCCAACTATTCACAGTGATAAACTGAATGTGGTTTGCGCTCTAGTCCACATAGTGATCTTGATGCTCTCTTCTCACTGTGTCCATTATTTATCAACAAAATATGACAATAGTTCCCGAACAATCAAACCTTTAAGGGGGGAGGTGGGGATCGAAAGTGAAATTCTTTAGTTTTTGTCGTAGAGCAATGAAATTTGGCATGCTTACTGGAAACTGCGCTAAATGATAAATGACAAAGTTTCATTCAGCTATCTCCAGTAGTTCTGGCATTATAAATTTTTTTATCCATCAGTGTACTACCAAACTTGCCCAAAGCCTGGTGTGACAAAAAAACATGGTAGAAGCCTATAGTTGCTCTTATATTTTAGCCATTGGGATGGTTGATGTCGTGACATTCTGCAAATATTTTTATGACTCTGTTTTTATTTTACAGAGAACATTGTATACATGCTTGTAAATGTGGTCGTTATCATAATGTGAAATTAGCTTAGGAGTAAAAATACTGAGCTAGTAATTAACAAATATGAAAACGTCACGACATAGAAAATTCACTGAGGAACACAATGCAAAAAACCACATGAAAATCCGTCAAGCCATAGTCATGCAAGCATCGTGGCAAGCTGGACAGTCGGGTCAAAACACGTTTCTGAGAAAACTGGCGTTAAAGTTGAACAGTCAGTAAAGGTCCATCAAAATGCCCCGGGACTGTAATACTTTGTGTCTTTGCTTGCGAGGGTCTTCTTACGTCCTTTCTCTTTCATTTTTTCGGCACTGCGTGCTTTTCGTTTTCTTTGCTGGTCTTTTTCTTCAGCTCTTTGAAGGGCGAGGCTAGCAGGTTTGATGCCCACGGACTTGCACATTTCAGTGTAGGCTCGCAAATTCCCAAAATTGTAGCGTGCAACTGCTTCATGTACTGTTGTCTCCACTGCGAACAATGAAGCGTGTTGGTCCTTTGAAGTCAGTGACCAAATAACTGAATGCAAGCTTTCCGCCGCATTCTGAGTTTTGTTGCCTTTGCATCGCTCCAACAGTTGCGGGTCAGAGAGACGTTGGTATACAGGCAGCAGAGCCTCCGCTACACGTTTCGACAGGTTATACCTGTGAGGTGGTGCTGGCTCCATTTTGGCCTGTGCTGAACGATGTTTGCACCAGCTATCAGGGCCAGGTGGGCAGAGCTCATGGTGAGGCTCGTCGTCGGTGGACGTGACGTGATAAAAGTGGCCATCACGGCCCTTTGCATGTCAGGGACACTTGTGTGTTTTCGCAAGGCTAACCCGTAGTAGCTGGTCAGTTTTTTAATCAACTCCTGCGTCAGTCCACCTCTCCCACCCAATGGCTCCCCTTTCTTAGCTCTTGTCACCAGTGTGCGGAGAGCGGTGCCCATTCTCTTCCGCACATGGTTCACGCAGTCTTCTTTGGTCAGTGGTATGAAGCCGTACACCTCATCTTTGCACAGAGCAAGATAGGTTCGGCTGTCACCATCACATATAATGTTGGTGTAGCGGAGGCCATACCTGCTGACAGAGCGCCTGAAAAGTGTCAGAGCAGCCTCCACTTCCATCTGTCCGGAGCCAACATCAGTATTCTTCTGACATTGATGTTTCTTAGCCCAAGTGACGAAGTTGGGGTCGCTCTCTGCTGGTTGTTGACAACACCCAAGACAGAAGTTGGAAAGGACTGTGCAATCCAGCACAAGCCCCGTGTAAAACTCAATAATACATCCTACCCCAATGTGTGAGCTGTGGCCTCTTGTAAGCCACGTGCCGTCATACACAACTGTGATGTTGTTTGGGCTTGATGGCTGCATCTTACTGTACACGTCTTTTACCGCAAGCACAGCATCTGCAAAGATGTTTTGTGCAGCTTCCTCTGCTCCTGGTTTGAATGTTTTTTTTAGGTGTTCCTGATAGGTTTTTTGATGAATGCCCCGATGAGAGACATTCATTGTAGCCCAGAAGTCATTCAGGGCAGTGGGCCTTTTTCCAATGGACTTGATTGCTTGCATGGCTCTTAGGTTGACTTCAAAAGCCCTTCCTTCGGATTTTCTACTGGATGACCAAGGTGAATGAATAGGGCCACAGGAAGCACACAAAAGAACCAGTTTTACTGCCAGGCCCAATTTTGTCCCATGCTGCACTGACAAAGTCTTCTTACAACATTTTGGGCAGAGTGCAGGTCCTATTAGGGAATTCATGGCAGAAACCTGAATTAGGGTGAACTCATCCTCTTTTGTTGCCGATGTTTGCTCCGTTTGCTGCGCGAACCCGAACTTCCGCTCCGTTGCCGACACCTCGCGAAGTGCATCGCGGACACTGCTGGCTTGCTTCTCGGCGCCTTCCGAGGACACGAAACGAGGTTCCAGGTGTATTTGAACGGTGCGCTTCCGCTGAGGCAAACGATCGCCGACATCCTGGACAGCTGGCACCATGTCGTCGTCCGCCGCCGCGAAAACGAAACTTTTCTCGCGTTCACACCGCACCGTGATGCCGCGGCTAGTTGATGGCCCCGGGTCTTCAGTGTCACTGCCAGGCGTCGATTCACCGTCACTTTGAACAGCCGGCACCGCATCGTCACCCGCCGCAGCGAAAACAAAACTTCTTTCGCGTTCGGGCCGCACCGCAACGTCGCGGCTAGTTGACGGCCCCGTGTCATAGGCCTCACTGCCGAGCATCGGCAGCGAGCAGGTGTCGGCTTCCGACGACACGTAGCTTGGTGGCGACGCGGTACTCGGTTCGTCTGATTCAATCGCTGCTGACTGCTTCGTTTTCCCAACAGGAGGCTTGCGTTTACGCTTCCCGTAAGCGTACTTCGTCCGGTACTTCGTCCTGCGCTTCCGGTCCACGCGACGATCCATTGCGGGCGCTAAGCCTCGCGCTAGAGAAGAGTTGGCGTATCGGCGACCGTATCGGCGTATCGGCAGGGGATTCGCAAACTATAGTGCGCCAGCATGTGCGTAGCAGACGTGCGTGCGCGGAGCAGACGACCAGCGCAAGCAAGCGCGTCCCAGCAGCCACTCACAGAGCGCGCTCAGTACCACGTGACAGGAGCGACCAATGGGTGCGCGTCTAAGGCGTCGCGGATGCCTTCGCATTTTTTCTGTTTGTGCGTTTATCTTAGCTCGTAGAGTCGTGGTTTCACCGGGAGAAGTACGGCGGTGAAGCAAGCTTTCCAGTGACACCAAGCTTTCCGCGAGCGGCGGCGAAGGCGCGGAAGTATCGCGCTCAGAAATGGGCCATTTTCGCGCAGATTTCAGCCAGCTTTTTGCGATCCGCGGTCAGAAAAACATTTTTTAAGCTTACTTTGAGATCGTTTTCGGCGGAAATATTTTTAGATATGATAGAAATGGTGATGCAGAATCCAAATCTGCCCTTATCCAAAATTCGTTTTTTTGCGAGAATTTCGCGATTTGATCCCCGCGTCGTCCCCCCTTAAGGTGCAGTAAAAGCACTGTTAGTGTCAACAAAAGAAGCAATTCTAGAGTTGAAAAAACTTGTAATCTTCATTTGAGACACGTCATTGCCCCTACTCTAAAATTTGTACTCACTCTTCCCGCTACCTAATTAACTCTGTCTACTTTGACAATGTACCGTAGTCAATCAAAAAGGAAAGGACGCTACGCTACTCACACGTTCGTCTTTGTTGTTTATCGTGATGACCATGCTTTCGTTCCTGGTCAAAGCCTGGAACACCTTGATGGACTCTTTTTTCAAGCATCCCTTTAAAACGAAAACATGCTGCAGTCAACCTTCGAAGATATACACAGCCGTGTTTAATTAAGCAGTGGTACAAGACAGCAGTGATGGAAGCGACATTTTGCTTTTTGGAGCCGATTCTGGAGCAGGAAAAATGATGCTTTGTAGCAGACTTAAGTGTCTTTGGAGCAGAAAAAAAAAATGCTATAGCTTATGGTTGCTATTGGCGTTTTCAGAGCAGACGCATGTTCTTAACAACCCCTGCAGTCTAAAACATCACTTAAGCATCTAATAAATATTTATATTCATTATTAAACATGCCGTATACTAGCATGCAGCTAGTATACAAGCCATATAGTAGCATAAATGGTGTAAATCATGGGGGCGGGGGAGGCTCAAAGGAGTCTAGAATTTGTGTTTAGGCTCAGGAGGACAGCCCTTGCAAGTATCCCCCTTGAAATTTGGCTTGAGCACGTGCTATAATTGAGCTACAGTTAAGTATAGCACAATCAACATTTTAAAAGGCTCTTCATCTATTACTGCGTGCCTGTGTTCAATGCGCCTCAGCTGTGCGAGCTATGGAAATCGCAAAAAGGTGAAGAGACTGAATAGAACAATACAATCGCTCAAGCTTGGACACTGTGCTTGTTTTTTAAAATTCTGTTTGAAAGCATTATTTAATTCTCATATAAATAACAATACAACCCATAATAAAAATATGAATTGGCCACCATGGCTTGGCATGTGTCACCCCTTGTGATTTTTCTGGATTTACGCCACTGAGTTGCATACTAGAATGATAGTGCGTATACAGCTTGCTTTTTGGGTTCGATTAGGCTCACGGGATGGTCCCATTGTATGGTTCACCTTCATTCCTTTTAGTTTGTCAACACCATTTTGGAGCAGGTTTGGACAGGTTTGGACCAAATATTGCACTTTGGAGCAGCATTTCTGTTTTGGAGTAGTTTGGAGCAATCGGAGCACCACTTCCATTACTCAGAGAGTGTGGCTCTTCCAGAATTTAAACAGTTCATGACAGCTTGAAAGAAGTGATTGTGTAAGAAAATAATAAGTTCTTCGTAGCGCGGCATGTTGTCTTAGGCTGAGACAATAAAGCTAAAACCCTAAATTGCTAAGGTAACCTAAAATTTATTATTCTAATGTGTGAACATGCACATTAAAAAAATAATAAAGTTGTCACAGTTTGAGCTCTCAGTTGCAAGCCATTTTTTCAGACAGGCACTTCATTTCGAAGGTTCTTGTGACTGAGGGATAACACAATACCTATGTTGCGACACTGTTTTACACAAGATCTTGCTCCAAACAGTGCTTTGTAGACTGTTTTACGGATGGGTTTGAGCGTCGCCATATTGGGCTGCTAACCTTTGCCTTTTGTACCTTTAACTAAACAAGACCTCATGATAGATGCATACACATGAAAACGCTTGGGTAGGTGCATACGACATTAATGGCTTTATTATTAATTCAGGTCCCCATGTAAAAAAACAAAATAACACTGCCTTAACAATCCAACATGACGGCAACTAGAGTGTGACAAAAAATAGTGTATATTTCAAAGAATTGTTGGCTCTGATCATGCCAACGCTATGTCATTTTGCGGGATATCGTATGACAAGACATCCCACAGACTTACCGTGTAGTCGAGATGCTTTAGAGTTGGGAACCCCGGAAAGAAGACATCCAGCCTGATTCCCTCCATGAGACCTTTCTTGATTTTGGACACCGGAAGTCTGAAGACATTCATGTCCAGCTCGGTGACTCTACAACACGAGAGATGATTATATAAACTTCTAAAAAAGTGGCACAACCCCGACAAAAGTTCAAACAACTGTTGATGAACAGTAATGGGTTAAAAGAAAGGGAAAAGAAGGATCTGCTTGAGGGATAAAACAAAAACCGAGCTAAAAAAAAATTATTACCTACGGACTACACAAAGGCGTTTTAAGGGGGGACGTGCCTTTTGGAACCAACTTTCTTTTTCCTGGTTAAATCATGATGAAACCATACATTTTGTGGCAAAAAAAAAAGGGCATCGTAACGTGCGAATGGTGGCGGCGACATACATAATAAAGAAGGGGTGCAGAGCACGTGTAGTGCTAATTGAGACCAGGGGTTTCAAGCTGCGGTTGCATTGTGAAATAAATCTCAGCATGGTAAAAATTTTGGCTTTTCTTCAAAATGAGTGCAACATTTACGTATTTATGAAGAAAATAAAAGTGTATAGATGTGATAGACATTTGTACATTGTTTTTTTGATACTTTCAAGGATTCAGAACTCGGTTAATTCAGACATTTCTTCCTGACCATGAAATCTAAATTAACGAGCTTTTTATGGTAAATTGTAAGCAAAAGGTGGGGAGATTAACAACGGCTAATTCAGACATTTATTCCGGACCCATGATATCCAATTAACAACCTTTTCACTTTAAATGATATGCAGAAGGTGGGGAGATTAAACAAATAATAAATATTTGGCTTGCTACTCTGTGCAAGGAGGTGTAAAGGGGCACAGAAAAGTGTTTAAATGAGAAATATTACTTGTTCAACTAGCGAAAAAAAGCGATGCCACGTATTCATGCTGCTCTAGAATAGAACATGTTGTGTTCCATGTTCTAAGACAGATTAGCAAATTTTTTAGTCCAGCAAGGGCTGCACGTTCTTTCGTGATTTTTGATGAAAAGTACTGTCTATTGCCGATTACATGTCGACATTTTTTTTCATGAAATAGCCTTCCAAAGTTCGGGGGTCGGTCTATAATCGGAGTTGACCTATATGCGAAATCGTGAAGTCGACTTTTCTGGGGGGTCCGACGAACGGTCATTGTCCTGATTCACCGCTATTCAACTAATCGATAACATCAGCCACAGAGGCAACGGAGTCGCAGGAACTGCTATCTCCCGATGCGTGTGAGCCGCTTCCGGAGCTTGTGATGAAACAACACATGCGTTTATCGTTCGCTAGCTATGCGACATACGCTTATCTATCACAAAAAACTCCACACGTGTCTCTCGCTCACAAAAAATTTGACATTTATCATTCGCGAAAGACGTGACTCATTTCTCGCTTTAGTGGAAAATGTGCCCTAACAGCGCTGGCTGTTAGATTTCCCGTGAAGCTCCATGGGCGTTCCACAAAAAATCCGGCAGCGCCACATGGGCTGGTAAAGCTTCGCTGGGAACTATAAACCACATGTTTTCTAGGGCCGACGGCAAGCAGCAGCAGCGGCTCACAGGATGGGCAATAACCGTGACTGTCGCATCTTTCTCTCGAGAGACGACGAGTCGTAAGCGATGTTTCACGGTCAAATAAATGTTCCTCGGCATCACTCCGTCTTCTAAAAGACTTACAGGTGTTTACTGGAGTGCTATAACAACAGCATGAGGCTGTCTTCAAAATCAACTTTGTTTATTGCCTAGAAGGGGTTGCAAATTGGGGGGGTTGACTTATAATCAAAGTTAATTTATTCGGCAATATATAGTAAAACAGTAAAGCAAATGCAGGCTGTCCACTGCACAATCTAATGTACAGAGGGGAATTATGTTCGTCGTGGCGATAAACTGATGCTTGAAGAGTGATGATGAGGAATATAAAGCAAATAAATTTTCATCAAATGAAGGCTATGTTTACTTGTTTTATGCTTTTATTATTTCCAGAATTTGAGATGTGCAACGGTTTTTTAACTAGCCAACATTGGGTGCACATTTGATATCTACGTAGCTCATGCACCACAATGTGACCTCTGATATTTTCCAACTTTGAACTTATTAAACCGAGAATGCCCAATGTTACGCTGCAAACACGCTAAATACTGCCACAGGAATCAGTGGTGTCTTCTGTTTTTTTTTTCTGCGTCTTAAATGATACAATTGTTTAGATAATTTAGCCGATTTATTCGGTCCCTTCACGATCGAACTGACGGAAGTCGACTGCAGATTGAGGTATAGGAACACAAGGAATACAGCATCACTGAAGGTGGTCTCAATGCCATGAAGCCCACTCACTTGGCATGATTGACCTCCAAGCTAGGCACAAGCCGTTCACCCTTGCATGGGCGTGGGGGCTGAGGTTCCTCGGAGTAGACAAACAGCAAGTGTCCCGAGTGGCCATTTCGAGACTTTTCTTCCTCGGTCAGCTTCTCGAAACGCTCCTCCATCGCGGGAAGCAGCCGATCCTGTCGAAACATGAGCGATGTAGCTTTTCTAGTGGCTCTATTGGAGTTGTGTTTATTTTACCTGGCCGACCACACGCAGGGACCCTATGTGTGCCCCCTACAATGATGCCTTCAAAGCACTGTTCATGCTTCATGTAGGTAATTAAATAATTAAGTAAATGCAAGTACACACACACTCACTTATGCACACACAACAGCCCTGCACGCAAAAAACACAGCAGTACAGGCAAACCAAGACTGGCGATTCAAAAAGTGAAGCCCTGGTGTGAAGCAAAAATAGGCCAAAAAAACTGAAATAAGTCAGTGTATGGGCTTGTGAGTAAAAAAAAGAAATGGGGGAGGTAGAATATTCAGTAATGTTAAATATCCAATATTACATAATTAACACCGGTATTAGATTCATCAATCTACCCCTTAATCAATTTACCTTCGTGTTGCTAGCCATGACACAGTTCTTCGCATTTGTTTTAATACAAATAATATGTGGGCTACTTTCAACCTATTTTGAGATAGCTTCATTTACTGGCAAAAGTAAAAGGGCTAGTAAACAACCCGAAGGTAAAAAAAAATGTCACGAATATGTGCCCTTTTGCTGTGTGAACATGCTGCCGCAAGAATTTTAGCGAGTACAAGCTATAATAAGGAAATTACCAGAGTCGAAACATCCATTTGAGCTGGTTTCAAACTGTCGCGCGGCCTTGCCAGCATTTTTTACCCTAGGGAGGCAGAAGGCGTAACACGTCGTCATGAATCCACCTACTTCAGCAACTGTGACATGATGTCAGCGATACGTGACCCCCGTGCAGCAAACGACCGAGCAGGGCCTCCCTAACATGAGCACATGTCATAGCGGTGTGGGGAGGAAGAGCAGTTTGAGGAGCACCCTTCCCCTAGTGATAAAGTAGCGAGACGTCTTTTTATCTCGGAGGCTTTCATCCTGGCAATATTGCTTCTCCTGGTGGTCTCGGGCTCTACAAGACGACAAGAGGGCAGCACAGGACAATGAAAATGCAAAATGTGCGACCAAAACTGCACCACCGCAGCGCCAAGGCACTGTTTCAAGGGGGAAGGACCAACTGACGAGCTCAGTGGCACGTAAGGTTGCTCATGAGCGAACTTGCGTCCCTGTGCGTACCAGGGGGCTTGATCAGGTGAAGGAAATAACTGCAGAAATTGTTTTTCGAAATGGAGGGTCTGCGCAGCACGCAGTGCTGTAATCTTTGGAAAATGTGATCACTGAGGTCTACTGTACAATTGGCGAGCTTGTTTGAGGGGTGTTAACAACAGCAAGAAATCGCAAAGACAGAATAAGAACCAGAAGCGGCTCGAAACTTGCATGCACAGGATAGGCGCGGACTAACAACTGTCACAGCTCGACACAAAGCGCTCTGTTCAAACAGAAAGAAAAACTCACGAAACAAACACACAAGTATAGACAAGACAAGTGCAAACAACTGTCACAATTCTTCCTGCGTCGTGTGTCCAGCATGCTCTTTTCATAAACGCGGCCGTGGCAGCGTGCGAAGTGACCTTCGTCCTTTCTCGAACTACGAGTCCGATCGTAAGTGTGCGCGCAGGAGAAACCACGCTCCGTGGAGGGGGCACTTCGTGGAGACAATGACCTTTCGAGCGTGCCCAACGTGAGCCCATCACGCCATCTCGCTGCTGATGAAAAAAAACGAGCAATATTTTCAGAGCTCTGAGGACCACCAAACGATGTATATATATATATAAATGACTTTCCGTTACTATCTTCAACAACACATGGTCCGTGGCACAGTGGTAAGTGCCGCGGGCTGAGAATTGAGAGGTTGCTGGATCGATTCCGCATGACGAACGCTTGCCCTCTGTATTTTTCTTTGCAATTCCTTAGTATATGTTTTCCAACGTACCTTCTGTGACGCAAGTACGTCAGCAGAGCCGTGGTGGGCCACGGCATACAATACTTTCATGTTAAAAAAGTCGGAGCCTGTTTACTCGCCCTTTAACTCATAAGGTGAGCTCAGCCATCGGACAACTAAGCTTTGTGGAAAGGCCAACCTCTAGGTGGCAAGGAGTACGACATTTTGAACGGCAACAACTCACTTGCAGCGCAATGAAAGGAAATGATACCGATGTCAAAATAAGCCTCTGTGTAATAAGAGTGCTCTTTATGAGAATTAGAGCTAATATTAAACAATTACCATTTACACAACCTCACTATGCAAACATATTGTAATTACTCGAATCTAACGCGCACCTTTTTTCCGGTTAAGGGAGTTCATGAATCGCATGCGCGTTAGAATTAAGTACGAAAAAAAAAAAAATGAATACGGTCATTCTATTGCCATCGGCATTTTCAAAATGATCGCCCCCTACGCGCGTTGGCCATTTCTGCCTATGTGTTTCCCATGTGCGGCACTTCGTACGTGTGCTGAGGAGTTCATCATCTTTTGTTGGAGCTTTGTCAACTTGTGAACAGGGTCAGGACCTCGTCAAGCTCTTGAGCTTTTAGTCCTGTCCTCCCCCTTAGCTAAAGGAAATAAAATGATTGATCGATTGATTGATCTTGTAGTGCATTAGCATCAACGGCATGGAAGGGTCGACTCCAAAAACTCGAGTGCACCACGATGCCGCTTTTAAAAGGGAAGTCATTGTGTGTGCAGAAACGGACGGAAATCGGGCCGCATCGCGGACGTTCGGAGTATTTGAAACGTGCGTACGGGAATGGCGGAAACAAAAGCAGAAGATTGTCGACAGCAAAGCTTCACGCAAAGGCTTCAGTGGACTACAGCAGGGTCGGTTTCCGCAAATTGAAGAGCTGCTCGGCGAGTACGTGCTTGAGCAGCGAGCGGCACAGCGGCCCGTGACGACAGAACTGCTCCAAGTGCGGGCTGTGAAGTTAGCCTTAGAAAAAGGTCTAATGCGGAGCCAGTTTAAAGCGAGCAGGTGCTAACTAACTTTATGAAGAGGAAAGGCTTTTCCCTCCGAAAGTGAACGGGCATATGCGAAAAGTTCTGCGGAGGAGTACCATGAAAAGCTGCACAGTTTTCACAGCTTCGTCCTAAACTTGCGGCACAAGAACGGCTACCTGCTTGGGCAAATCGGGAATGCCGATCAGGCGCCTTTTTACTTCGATATGCCTGGCACCGCGACCGTCGAGAGAAAGGAGGCGAAGAAAGTTCGCGTGCTGACGTCGGTCCAGGGTAAAACTACAGTGAAGGCAATGCTTTGTTACACGTCAGATGGGCACAAGCTTCCCCCCCGGACCTCATAGTTAAATGGAAGACGCTCCCGAAAGGAGTCGTTTTTTCGAGTGGTGTGATCGTGCATGCCGGCGAGAAAAATGGGTGCGCATCGCAATTGATGTCTTAATTTTTTTTTTCGTTGTGGAAATCGGGTGCGCGTTACAATCGAGGGCGAGGTAGAATCGAGCAAGTACGGTAGCACATAAAAAAAAAAAAAACGGAGATGTTTACCCTGGTCGTGTAAAGCTTAAGAAACATCGAAGCCGGTTGATCGTAAGAGCTTACCGTATTTACTCGATTCTACCGCGCCCTTGATTGTAACGCGCACCCGATTTCCACCGCGAAAAAAAAAAAAAAAACGTAAGACATCGATTGCAATGCGCACCCATTTTTTTTTTTGCTGGCCCGCACGATCACACCACTCGAAAAAACGATTCCTTTCGGGATTGTCTTCCATTTAAATATGAGGTACGGGCGAAGCTTGTGCCCATCTGACGTGTAACAGAGCATTGCCGTCACTGTAGTTTTACCGTGGACCGATGTCAGCACGCGAACTTGCTTCGCCCCCTTCTTCTCGACAGTTGTGGTGCCAGGCATGTCGAAGTAAAGAGGCGTCTGATCGGCATTCCAGATTTGCCCAAGCAGGTAGCCGTTGTTGCGCCGCAAGTTTAGGACGAACCTCTGAAAACTGTGAAGCTTTTCATCGTACTTCTCCGCAAAAGTTTTCGCATATGCATGTTCCCCTTCGGAGGGAAGAGCCTTTCCTCTTCATATAGTTAATTAGCCAGCACCTGCTCGCTTTAAACAGGCTCCGCATTAGACTTTTTTCTAAGACTAATTGCATAGCCCGCACTTGGAGCAGTTCTGTCGTCATGGGCCGCTGTGCCGCTCGCTCCTCAAGCACATACTCGCGGAGCAGCTCTTCAATTTGTGGAAACCGACCCTGCTTTGGTTCACTGAAGCCTTTGCGTGAAGCTTTGCTGTCGACAATCTTCTGCTTTTGTTTCCGCCAGTCCCGCACGCACGTTTCGAGAAGGACCGCGATGCGGCCCGATTTCCGTCCGTTTCTGCACACGCGATGACTTTTCTTTTAAAAGCGGCATCGTGGTGCACTCGAGTTTTTGGAGTCGGCCCTTCCACGTCGTCGATGCTAATGCACTACTAGATGACGAACTCCTCAGCACACGTACGAAGTGCCGCACATGGTAAACACATAGGCAGAAATAGCCGACGCACCATGCCGACGCACGTAGGGGGCGGCCATTTTGGATTTGCGATGGCAATAGATTGACCGTAATTTTTTTGTTCGTACTCGATTCTAACGCGCATGCGATTTATGAACTCGCTTAACCGGAAAAAAGGTGTGCGTTAGATTCGAGTAATTACGGTAACATGGCCTTCTTGGCTGATGACAGAGTAAAGTTGGTGTAGACAAAGTAGGATCAAACCACAGCCTGTCACAGACCACGCAAGAATGTCTAAAATCCAGCACTAGAACTAACGTGCAAAGCTGGCTGTGGCACACTCGGTAGAGACGCGGGACTTTTGTCGCCCATACTTGGCTCGCGCTGTCGGAAAACAGTGGCCTATCTCCGTCGATGGCTGATAAGCAACGGCGGAGAGGGTTTTTAGTGGACACCCTGCATTTTACCTCAAGCTTTACGAGCTTGACTCTGTGGGAATTGAGGCTGGCCCGCTGCCTTTAAGCGGGCTTTCCCGCCTTTTCTGCCGTTCTCATGTCCCGACATGTCTGCCCTCCTTGCTGTCTGCCGC